AATGGTTTGTTGTAGAGAAACTTGCCAACTCAGATTTTTTTAGGAACCAGGGGTCACAATTACAGCTATTTTTATAGTATCCAAAAACGCAAGTGAACCAACACGTCTTCTTAGGTTTTATATGTAAATATTTATAATGGAGAAGGTAAATAAATCGGGGGGGAAAATCTTGAGGGACTGTTCTGCCTCACAATGCACTGCTTACACCTCTGGCTTATCAAAAACACATTTGAGGCCAAACCCTTCTCAAAAACTATTATAAAACAATGTCTCAGACATATTTATAGCTATTTAATGTGATGGACCATTTCTCTAGAATGGAGCATTGCACATCAAACCGCTCAGAATGACTTGGTTCACATCTTAACAATTTAAGCAGAAATTCTCTTTAAACATCTCAGGTGTTCTGATTTTTTGCTGTCTTGTGCTTCAGTTTGTCTTTGTATATATGAAATTGTGCTTTACTCCTAGATCAGCTGTGTTTATATGAGCAATATTATTTTAAGTGAAAGAGTTTATTCTGTCTCAAAAAGATTTGTTCCTAATAAAGTACATGTGAAGGATATTTCAGGACTTCTAGGATTTTGTTTTATAACTCTGGCCCTGGAAGGTTTCTCTCTTTCTTTTTTCTCTAGGTATCAACATGGACTTTTGTTTCTAGCAATATCTGAGCTCAGGACTAGCTTATTCTCTAACCTAATTGTAACTAGCAGAGATACTTTCTCTGAGTAGACAACAAAGCACTTTTTAAAAGTCGCTCTGGATAAGAGCATCTGCTAAATGCAGTATATGTAAATGTAAATGGAAGGTCACAGGACTAAACACCATCATTTTTCCCAGCCATATCAGCTTGAATCGTTTAATGTATGTAAAATACATGTAAAATTAAAAAAACCCTTACAGTATGCAGGTTGATGTTGCCTCAAGTTTGAAGAGAAAATATAAGCATCTTTGCCAAACCACTTGGCACTTGGCTATCTGCCATAATTAGTTTTATGTGCACAGAAAAAATGTCTCTTGTAAGATGGATGGTCACTAGTTACCTAACTCTGCTATGGTCATTTGGCCTTTTAATTGCTAAGCTACTTTTGTGCCTACTTACATGCCATTATTTTCACATTTGCTATTAAAGTACACTACAGGTCATTACTGCATATTTGCTGTCTAAGAGAATTTTGCTAAATGGAGAAGTATGTGAAAAATAATTCATGCAATTCCGTTATGCCATGAATGTTTTCTCAAAACTAAAGTAATTCACAGAACTGTTCCCATCCAACACATTCTCCTAGTTTACTAGCTGTAATGCACTGGTGTAATCAGGAAATAGAGTCAGCATAACCTACAGGATTCTAGCTAGTAATATTACTTCAAATCACAATAAAAAAAAATCAAGCACATAGCCATGCAGTCTCCAATCACTATTAGAATAGGTCAAAGAGCTCAGTAACTTTAAATGGCATTTTTATAGGATGCCACAAGCCAGTTTGTGAAATTTCTGCCCCAGTTAACTGTGAGCATTAGTGGGAAATGGAAGTATCCATATTAACATGCATGGGTTTAGAATGGGAAGTCCAACATGTTCATATAGGTGTGATGGTCACACTTTTGGCCATATTTGTGAATAATAAGAACAATATTAAATACATTCACTAAATAATAATAAATAGAGGATTATGATTAGTATTTTTGTACACTTTTGTAAGCTTCTCAGTTTCCACAGATCACATAGGCTGTTAAGTATGACAGGTAAACTTTTTTCCTTTTCATTTTTGGGGAATCCACTGTTAAATCACTCAGTATAAGCTGCAAAAAATAAAAAAAATACGTTTTAGTTAACGGTACACAATCACAGAAACAAGATGATTAGTCCAAAGTTAAAAGAAAGAAAGAAAGAAAAATACATGCCTATTACATGTTCCTGTTTAGCCCTACTTTAATGAAGATAAAAGCCTTCTATAGTATACACATGCATTCAGTAAAATACTTACTTAATTTTCTCTAGTTTGCAGTCTGGATTTTCCAGTAAGGCGGAAATCTGCCTTATGTCTGTGTCTTTAAGGTTGTTTTCTCTAAGGTCCAGTTCTCTCAGGACTGTGTGTTTGCCATTTAAAGCTGATGCTAAGATTGTGCAGCATTTCTCCGTGACCCCACAGTTGAACAGTCTACAAGGAAAAGTTGTAGCTTCATACATTGTAAGTACTTAAGCTGACATTATATAGTACAGCAGTCTCCAGAGAAGCACAGATAAAGGGAAATGATTGGTGTTTATTGCCCAAAATCTGCGTCCTTACACAGAAAAATGAATATATATTATATATATTATACACCCTAGAAAGTTATGACCGTTATGAACGTTAATAGCAACAAAATGTATCACCTCAGAATCTCCAGTTTGCAGTGTGGATTCTCTAATCCGGCACAAAGAGTCTCCACTCCTGAATCCTGCAGGTTATTTCCTCCCAGGTTCAGTTCCCTCAGACATGAAGCTTCTTTGCAGAGAGTAGAGGCCAGTGCATCACAACATTCTCCAGTCAACCCACACTGATTCAGGCTGGTGAGAAAAAACATATATGTTAGTTAGTAGGTTGTATTAGATATCAGGTCATATATAACATGTATGTAGGTTGATTTGATGTATAATGTCAAAGCACTCACTCCAGTTGAACAATTGCACTCTTGCTATACTTCAGCACAGCAGAAAGCATCTTTATTCCTGCATCTGTTAAGTTGTTGTTAGCCAGATTCAGCTGTCTCAAATAAGTAGGATTTGAGATTAGGGCTGATGCGAGGGCAGCACAGCCCTCTTCTGTAACTCCACTCTCTCTAAGCCTGTAGAGAGAGACAGAGAAATTATAGGGAATTTTATTAGCTTTCTGGTTGTAAAGATTCAAATGAATAATCAAAATTACAGTATGTTTTATCAGAAACATTTTTTTGTAGTGCTACCTTGCTGGTGTACAGTTAGGCTGCATCCCATCTATAGATGCAAAATGAGTAGTATTCATCCTCATCCATCAATGACTAGTTTCTAAACAGAGCCAAGCATATCTGGAAATTTTGTGTGGTGGACCACTCACAGCAGTGACACTGATGTGTGTAAATAACATTGCATCACCGTTATGCCTCGCACATTCATACTCACACCACTCACACTACCATGTTTGATACTGGTCCACCACACAATTACAAACTCAATTCCAAAAAAGTTGGGAAAGCAGGAAATATGCAAATAGAAACAGACAGCAATGATTTGCAATTCTTTTTGACCTGTATTCAACTGAAAACAGTACAAAGACAAGATTACACAAGTCTTCAGCTGCATAACCGTATGGGGCCTTCATTGTCATATTTTGAGCTTAATAGAGCGCCACATATTTTCAATGGGAGACTATGAAGGTAATTTTGTGCCAAAAGTTTCAAATAAAATAATACAAAAAATAAATACTAAACATTTTGCTTGTATTAAATCTCCAAAATATGTTGCAAATACAAATAATGAGAGTTAAACCAAACTTAATTTTTCAAAAAAGATTGCTTACCATTTTTACTCATACTTAGATGAATGTATTACTTACTTAAATGTATTAAATACTATGTATTTGCTTCTGAAATCTTTTATTGGATTCTGACTTTTGGTACTTTTTAACTGGGTGCAAGTCTTAGAAGAGGGTGCACCTGCACTCTCTATAGGTCAACTGATTTAGAGTGACAGGTCCTCTGAACACGTAGCCATGCCCACTCTGTTAGCCGTGTGGGCATGGCACTTGATACCGAGTGTAGTATTGCACTGACAGGTCCAACATTATGAGGATTCTTTGTCGTATGCGTTAATTTAACACATCCTAGGTAAACTTAGCTGTTGAATGAAGCTGTATTATCTTCTGGGTTTGTAGATGCTAGTGCTAACTAGCCCAGCAGTATCCACTAAAGGGCTAACTAGGCAACCTTTGCAGCTATTTATTAGGCAGTGCATTTACATGTACTTAATAATCCGATAACTACAGAAAATCTGATTTAGTAACCCCATCAACATGTTTACGTGCACTTAAGTAATCAAATAATAGGAAACTCTGGGTTTACATGAGTCAAACAAAAACTGGATTTCTGCTTTGCAACCAGCCAATAAACTCGTAAATGTGATGAAAGATAATAATGTTACCCAAACTTTGTGCTGTGGCTTTTTTTTCTAATCAAGCCATAACCTGAAAATACAAACACGTCATCTAGAAGATGAAGAATATTTAAACATTTCATCAAGCATGGTTTCAGCGTAGAGCTGGGCGATATGGCGAAAAACGTTATCACGATAAACAAAATTCATATCGTTCGATATCGATACATATCGCGATAAATGTCAAATCATGATTTCTTTCACGTTTGAAGGCTGATTTTGCTCCTGGGTGGTTAACTGTGGTTTTAAACTATCCTTTATGGTCCGATCATGACAAACACTCGGCAAACAGTGGAACATTTCACTAATCTGTCATGGAAGAGTGGGAGAAAGTTTCTGAGCTGTTTTTATCAGCTTGAAAAGCACAGCTGCAATTTTTGTAATAGTCATGATTTAAGAAAGAAAACACATTTTTTTAGCTGTCTGGTGACGAGCGCTCGGCTACCCGGTTACAAATGCTAAACAAGTGGCCAACAACAGTGCTAAACCCTTTAGTTTCTCAACAACGTCAACTCGGTTCGGTAGGTCACTGCTGTCACTCCTACCACAACCATGTCAGAGCATATCACAGTATTCAGACACCAGCTAGCGACATGTGGATTTCTCTATGCTATCGCAGTAGTTTAAGGGGTGAACCGCAGTATATCTGATGTTTGCTGTGTAAAAGCATTATCTGCAGTGTGAATCTCTCACACCAGTCACAGAGTCCTCCTTTTAGGTATGTTTAAACTGAAAGCGGTGATTCTGTGTCTTGTTTGATCTACAGTATCATCAATTCACCGTGTTGTGCCGGACCGCTGCTTCAACTTAGCCAGCAGCTAAAAACAGCTAGCCTGGAAAGATAGCTTAGCGCTCTCCCGCTCTCCAAGACCTCACAGCTTCCTCAGTTTACTTTCGAACATGAACTCACTTCTTTCTTTAACTTTCGTTGCTCGAGAATGCACTAATACTAAAATATGACGGTTTGGCGCTGTAACACGGCGCTGTAGACGTGATTTAACACCGCTAAAGTTGTTAGGATGCACGGAAAGAGGTGAGTTCACTGTAGGACAGTTACACCACTGACCTCGTCAATCACACTCGGTCACAGGAGAACAGATCGCCGGTCGCTCCACTCAAACAGGGACTGTATAACTCCGCGTTTCAGCCGTTGCTAAAGTATATTTGGCGACCCTTTTTTTACTCGTGACCCCCTCCCTCTCTAATCAAGTCGAAAAATTCGGAAGTGCGCCCTCTCCTGGCGACAGCAGAGTAGTGTCGCTTTCCTTGCAGTAGAAAATGCCACCAGGGCTTTCGCTAAAACATGGAAGTGTGAGAATGGTGTATTATATCGAACATTTATCGAACCTGTCTTATCGCTCTATCGAGGAAAAGTTATATCGCGATACTTAACGTTATCGTTTTATCGCCCAGCCCTATTTCAGCGTTGCTCCAAAATTGTTTTATTGCCATCTCGTGGGTGCTGTGTTAAATGCTGCTTGCTTACTTCTGGTACTGCGTTCTGTTTTCGCACATGCACAGATTGAGAGATCCAAAAGAAATCAGAGTAAAAGTATAAATGCACTAAAAAAATTGATCAGTGACTTAAAATCCAGATCTCTTTATCTGACCTCTTAATCAGATTTCTGTACCTTACTCCGATCTAAGAAATCAAAGTATGCTGTTTCCATGACCAGTTGAATAACCGAATATCCAGATTATAACCAGATAACCAGATTATGATCGTATTATTAAATGCAAGTAAGTCCGCTCAGTGTTTCTTAACCTTGTTGCAAGGTTTTATCTGTTCCTTACCTTAAAACACCTGATCCAGTCCATCAACTGATTAACGAGCCATTCATGAGCTGATCAGGCGTGCTTGGTTTTAGGAAACTGCTGAAACTACGATGTTGTTTCATTGGCAAAGTGAGGTTGTACAAAGTATTAAATGCAGGGGTGCCAATAATTGGCACTTGTGGTTTTGTTAAAAAATAATTATTTCTTAATGAGTTCTTTTTTTTCTCAGAATTAATTTACTGCAATTAAAGGTTAGATTTCTCTTTTCTTCAGTGTGAGATTAAGCTAATCCCCCAAAAGGTGAATTTCCTTTTACTCATTTTTACCAGGGGCGCCAATAGATGGGGAAGTTATTGTATATCTTAAAGCTATGGATGCAGTCGAGGAAGGCTGCCGTTCTCTGCCATTTTGCCAATGAAGATTGTTCTGTTTTGTAACAACCCATGATGTCATAGGAATTGTCCATATACCTCCAAGGCAGGATTATGACAAAGCACAGATCTGGGAAAGAGCACTGAAATTTTTTTGCAGCTTTGAAGGTCGTGCAGAACAGAGTGGCTTCCATTATTGTTAAATGAAAGAATTTCACAACCACAGAGACTTCTAGTGTCAGACGCCCAGCCAAACTAAGCAATTGGGGAAGAATTCAGTCGGGGGGTGACCAAGAACCTGAAGGTAACTCCAGAGGTGTGTAGATGGGAGAACCTGCCATTAGGACAACCATCTTTGTGCCAATTAGGGCGTTATAGCAGAGTGGCTAGATGGAAGCCCCTACTTAGGAGTTGTTGGAGGCAGTAAGGATGGGTCAGGAGTATGGTGAAATTATTGAGGAAAACCTGCTCAAGAGTGCTCAGGACTACAGGCTGGGGCAGCCTGATACCTACCAACAGGATAAAATTATTGGATCATTCCACTACACTTCAACAAGTGCATGCCTAGTCAGATCATGGATTTTATAATCAAGCAAAAATTTTAATTCATACCATAATGCAGCATTTCAAAGCTGTATTCCAGTTAGTTTTTAATGGTGGATCTGTAAGGTTTGCCCCATCAATTATTAAACTGCAATTCAGCTTAAATATATACTGGGCATAAATACAACACTAAGGAGTGGCAAACTCAGGCTATTTGAAGGGAAGCGGCAAAAAAAAAATAACGACACCTGCTGCACAACATGGGGGCCCACCAGCACGCAAAAAGCTATGATGCCTCTTGCAGGATTTTTAGTTCCTTTTGTATGTGCTTCAGCTTTCTTTCTTACCTTGGTGTTTTGTAATCATAATAGAGCCTAATGCTAACTCCACTGTTAGGTTAATTGAAATTGTAATTTCCAAATTTATTCCACAGCTTAGCATAGAATCAGCTACGCAAGGAACCTGTTTAGTTAGCTAGTTCTTTAGTTAGGCATCCAAGCTAAAATGTGATACAGCTATGTATAAAAGCAATTGCAAAGTACATACATTAGTATTTAGTAATGCATCGTTAGTAAAACTCAATTTTTACAACTTTAAAGAATGCTTGCTGTATTACCCACAGTGCTAATTGAAAGTTTGTATAACAAATAACACAGACAATTTATATAGTTTTTCAATTTACTAAACAAACGTGTTCCACCGTTAAATGTCATTGTTAGCAAAAGTATGTGAACTGGTGGAACTGGTGTGACCACCTTAAGCAGCAGTAACATCAACCAAACTGATCTTATAACTCAGCCCTGTACAGTGACTTGGAGGAATCTTGGCCCATTCCTCTTAGAGAACGGCTTTAACTCTGTTATATTTACCTGATTGTGGATTCATGAACACTGACATTAGCCAGTGTAAGAGAGGCATGAAGATCCTTAGATGTTACTTTGGGGTTCTTTGTGATCTCCTAGAACATTCTATGCCTTACTCTTGGAGTCATTTTTGTTGGATGATCATTAATGGTGTTGAATTTCCTCTGTTTATACACTGAATGGATTGGTGGACACCACACTCTTCAGAAATAGTTTGGAACCTCCACCAGCCTAATGAGCACTGGCAAAAAAAAAAAAATTCTGTGGTCCTCAGACATCTCATTTGATTGAGACATGACATGCACTAACCACTGTGTGTGATAAAGACCAGACTTTAATGGTGAAGACTCAGGTTGATATTTTTTAAAAGGGTAGGGTCAGCCACACTTACCTAATTGTCATGCAACTGGATTGAATCTCCTGACCTTAATTATTTCCTATACAAAACCGATAACTAAAGAGTTTTACATACTTTTGCAGACGAACATAGATAATGTTGGATCACTTTGTTCAATATATTAATGAAAAACTACATAATTGTTTTGTGTTTGTGTGGGTTCTCTTTTTCTACTGTTACAACTAAAATATAGATCAGATCTTATTTTAGGTCAAACTTATGCTTATGTCTAATTAACATGTTATTTTTCCCCTGGTGGTTTAATTCTTTTTTAATATACAGTGTTTGTCTAAGAGGCAACATAAATATTGCCTAAAACTTTAAATAGAAAAACTTTTTTAAAATAAATTTTAAAATAAACCTTTATAATTCTCTGCTGTCGGATCAAAACCAAAATAGTAACTTTGCAGAAGAAGAAAAAAACATACTTTACTTTTAATGTAAGTCAGACTTTTTTACACATAATTTTGGGCAGTTTCTTTTGGTCCATTCATCATGAAATTTACATACACAACAGGCACTTCCAAATTATGTCAAAAACTGAAAAATGGACATATAAAGTTTTGTTCTGACAGCAGCAATATATTCTCCCATTTCCGTGGGGGGATCTATTATATTTAAAATCTATTGCAGAAGCACCCAACAGGTATCCTGTCTTTCTTGCCATCAAAATAAACGTCATGGCCATGAAGGACATTGCCATCTTCATCTGAATTTTCCAGAATGGATCCTAGCCATCGTTTCCCCTAAAACTGAGAGACATTATGCTTCTTTAAGATGTCTCAAGCTGGTTTCATCTAAATTCCTAGGTTCTGCTGCTGTTATCACTGGTATTTTCAAAATCTGTGTGATGCAAAAATGTTTTACAATATTCTCATATCTTCAAGCTCTTTCCTACAGCTGAAAAGTGTGGAAATAATTTTGATAGCTGGTGAGACATGACACTTGTTGGGTGCTTCTGCAAGAGATACTGTGTATAACACGTTCACACAGCAATATGAAACACAAACAAGCATTACCTCTCAAAATGGTATACTTTGTGAAGAGAGTATAGGCATTCAGGAGCATTATTAAACATATTATGGAATTTTAGTGTTGTCTTATTTACTTCTTGATTATTTCTTTATGTCATGATTCTTAGTCAAATCATTTTAAAATTACAAACAAAATTTAAACCATGAAGGAGTCATATCATAGCTGTAGTCATCTCTTCTTTTTCAGGAAAAAGTTTGAAAGCAATACTGAGAAAATATAGGGTCTAAACGAACCACACAATGGAATTTTAGATGTGAGGCCTTTTTGAGCTCATAGTGCAGCTTCAAACACTGCATGGAGAAAATAAGAATTCATAAATTTGCTACAAATTTAAGAATATTACATAAAAACTAAAAGAATAAGAGAAATATTAAATTTCAAAGACAAACTATTGCAATTTGACATAAAAAAATATATTCTCCAACAGATTAACCTGATCTAGGAATTAGCTGTTATTAACAATAGATTAATTAATTAATCATAAACCCTGGTTAGAATTTCTGCTCTGTTCAATCTTTCTGTATAGAGTTAAACTCAATAGATAGGATGCAGTATAGATCCTAATGAATAAACTGTTTTATCTTTATTCATGGAAATCCATGACATGACCAGACAAGCCCTAGGTGAGCTGCCATCAAATGACACCATTACAATTGTTCCCTACATTTTATTTTTTGTGCTAGAGTTGAATTACACCACTATAGAATGTTTTGATGGGAAAAAAAAACATTTATTAAATCTCTTCATCCTTGAACTTTCATTTTCTGTTCTTTTTTGAGCTTGCCAACTACTCCAGTATTTCACTAAACCTTTAAAACCCAGCACCACACAAATATAGCTTAGATTATAGACAGTCCTTATTCTCAACTGGCTAGATTAGCTACAACCTTTGTAAATCAAAAGTAAATTTCAGACAAACCGTGAGCACATATTGCAGATGCATCAAGGCACATTTGTGCTCCGCCTGCCTGACCATTTATGTACAGTGGCCTTGAAAAGTATGTGAACACTTCAACCATGGGTACCTTAGGTGTTTAAGGTTACTTATTGACCAAATAATATTTAAATAATATTTCTTTGAAAGAAAAACACTTTTAGCACAACATCAATCTGACATCAGCCAAACAAGGGTTCTATAAAGCACAGAGGTGGAACCATCAAAGTCTGAGGCTGGTTTTCTTACAATGGTGCTACAAAACTGCTCAAATGATTATGAACAGCCAACTTTTCAATGAGCATTTTGTCAAAAAAAAAAAACACTTGGAATGATTTGTTCAAAATAAATGCCACTTGGTTTTGACATTGTGTTTCCTAACACAATGAACTTATTACATTTTTAAGTATGGCACAATTGTCCAAATAATTTTGGGGCCACTGTACATCTGGTTCTCAGTGTATAATAGTAAAATTTCTTCACCTTAAGGTCTGAAGTCTGCAACTGAGATTCTCCATCACCTCGGAAAGAGCTTTCAGTCCAGAATCTCGGATGTGATTCTGATTCAGGTCCAGCTCTCTGAGGGTTGTGGGGTTTGCAGCAAGTGCAGAGGCCAAAGCAGCAGCTCCTTCCTCTGTGATCTCACAAAATACCAACCTGCAAAAACAGATTTTTGTCAACTTGAATATATGTATATAAAAATGAAGTTGAACAATTATTTGATTGAACAAAGCAAAATAAAAGTTAATTTGCACACAAGCATGTTGATGTTCTTTATTCATTCTCACAAACATTCCAAACTGACCTCTTCCCTTTTCCATTTTAGCAGTCTGCTAATTAAACCTAGATTAAACCTGTGTTTCAGACATGAATTTAAAGCTGTGTGCTGACTCTGACCTCAGTATCTCCAGTTTGCATTGTGGACTTCTGAGCCCGGCAGAGAGCAGCTCCACTCCTGTGTCTCGTATTGAGTTTCCACTCAGGTCCACTGCTTTCAGACTAGCTGAGCGGCACCTGAAGGCCAAAGCAAGCGCCTCACAGCTCCTCTCAGTGAGCAAACCATAACTTAGCCTAAAGATAAAATAAAAAATGAAAAAAACAATAAATTTATACCATGTGGTGTTATTTACAGGGTTCAAATGTTGGGGTTGAGGATCCAAGACCTTCCATAACAATAAAGAAGAGATATATAAGAGAGAAGAGATAAAATTCAACTTTGAAGGTGGGGTCCCATGTTATTTCACTGAATAAAATATGAATTTTCTGACAAAATCTCTGTGTATGTTGTGATCATATTTTACATGCAGAATACAAAGATGGTTTCCATATATTATAAAGATATTCTAAAATCAATAGTGTTACTAAGTTCATTTTACAGATCACTCAAAGTTAATGCATTCAAGGAAAGCACTGTTTAATTTTTATCCAGCTTGGTCCTTACTTACTGTCATGCCATGTGGCTGAGAGCTTGGTCTGGGGATTCACTGGTGGGTCCACTATCCAAATAACATATATACACCTAGTACTTTATTAGGAACACTGTAGTAATACTGGGTAGGGCTTTTTAGGTACACTTTCATGCTGTGAATCTTCTGTTATACCACATCCCAAAGGTGTTCTACTGGATTCAGATCCAGTGACTGGCAACTGAAGAACTCATTGTCATGTTCATGAAACCAGTTTGGACGACTTTGTGACAGGCAGCATTATCATGCTGGAAGTAGCCATTAGAAGATGGGCAAATTGTGGCCATGAAGGGATGGATGCACTTGGTCAGCAAGAATACTCAAATAGGCTGCAGCATTCAAGCATTGACTGATTGGTATTAATGGGCCCCAAGTGTGCCAGGAAAACATTCGCCACACCATTACACCACCTCCAGCAGCCTGGACTGTTGACACAAGGCAGGTTAAATCCACGGATTCATGCTTTTGGCGCCGAATTCTGACTGAACCATCTGTGTGTGTCTCAGCAGAAACTGAGATTCATCAGATCAGGTTACATATTTCAATCTTCAGCAGTCTGGTTTTGGCAAGCCTGTGCCCAATGCAGCCTCAGCTTTCTGTTCTTGGCTGACAGAAGTGGAACTCGACGAGGTATTCTTCTGTTGTGGTCCATCCGCCACAAGGTTTGACCTGTTGTGCATTCTGTTATCTGAGTTACCGTAGCCTTTCTGTCATCTTAAAACAGTCTGGCCATTCTCATTTGACCATTCTCATCAACAAGGTGTTTCCATCTGCAGAACTGCCATTCACTGGATGTTTTTCTTTGTTGCATCATTCTCAGTAAATTCTAGAGATGGTTGTGCATCCCAGCAGTTATGGAAGTACTCAAGCCAGCTCATCTGGCACCAACAAATATGCCATGGTCAAAATCACTGAGATCATGATTTTCCCCATTCTGATGGTTAATGTGAACATTACCTGAAGCTGTTGGCCCATATGTGCATGATTTTATGCACTGCACTGCTGCCACAAAATTGGCTAACTAGATTACATGCATGAGTAACTTCACAGTTGTTCCTAATAAAGCAGCAGCACGGCTCGTCTTCAATCTCCCCAAGTTCAGCCACGTCACCCCACTGCTGCGCCCCCTTCACTGGCTTCCTGTAGCTGCACGCATCAGATTTAAAACCCTTATGCTTGCTTACAAAGCCAAAAATGGACCAGCCCCTCCCTACTTGATGGCAATGGTCAAATCTCGAACTGTACCACATGCCCTTCGAGCTTCAAGCACAGCTCGACTTGACCCGCCATCCTTCAAGGCGCACGGAAGGCAAGCATCAAGACTGTTCTCTGTGCTGGCACCCAGGTGGTGGAACGAACTCCAACTAGCTGTCTATACAGTAGAGTCTCTCACTGTCTTCAAATGCAGACTGAAGACACATCTGTTTATACAGCACTTAAATGAGCACCGAATTAAGTATTGATTGTAAAGTATTGTACTGCACTTATGTATTGTATTGTATTGCACTGTTCTGTGTTTAACTCTGTTCCTTTTTCTCTAGGTGTCAATAATGACTTTCTGATTCTAGCAGTATCTGAGCTCAGGACTGGCTTTCTCTCTAACGTATTGGCAACTAGCAAAGATACCTTCTCTGAATAGACAAAGCACTTTTTGTAAGTCGCTCTGGATAAGAGCGTCTGCTAAATGCTGTAAATGTAAATGTAAGTGCTCAGCAAGTGTATATTAACGTTCAAACATATACATACATATAGCTGGTCCATTACTACTTTAACTTCAATTAATTGATTCATTGGGAACCAAAAACCTACAGATATTAGTCTGGCAATATTGTTTTATTCAACAAATCAAAACATTTCCTTTTATGAAGATGTGACCTATTCTTGTACTCTATCACGTCTCTCTCTCTCTTTCTCTCTCTCTTTCTCTCTCTCTCTCTCTCTCTCTCTCTCTCTCTCTCTTTCTCTCTCTCTCTCTCTCTCTCTTCTTTCTTTATAAAAACAAAACACACCTACCCTTATAATCTTCTCATTTATATTTTCTAAAAAGGTTAAAACCTACAGGAAAAAAAAACATGAAAAATACCCAAGGTAATCTGGGAACATTAGCCTACAATCAGCACTGATAACCGTGTAGTTATCCAAGCAGTTTCTTACAGTTTTCAAATGCAGCTCATTCTTTGTGTTAGCACTGCTTTGCTAAACTACACAGAATTAGCTGAAAAAGTCATGTGCTGTTTTTTCACTTGATCTTACTTGAATGCGATTTTAAGATATTAGTATCACACCATGCTGAGTTTCTGCCATGGATGCAATGTTCATTCTCTTGCGCACTCGTGCTCAGTTTCATGTCATACAGAAAACAAAGTGAATTTTTTTATATTGCAAGACCTTGAACTGCAGTCGCACATCTGTATTTCCTTCTTCTAATCACATTATGTAAATTAGAAGCACACACATCATTAAGCCAACTAATCAATCACTTTGATAACTAATTGATTTATTGCCAATTATTTTTTATTATTGACATTATTGATAATATCAATTAGTTGTTGCAGCCCTACTTAGCTTCTCTACCTATGATACCCTTTGTCTGTGTTGTGAATTCCCTTAGACCAATCTTTGGTCGTTTTGCACAGAATGATACCAAATTGTGCTAAGAAAAGAAGTGATTTCAGTTGTTCTAAATAGCTGCCCATTTTTAGCTGCTCTGAAAGGTTTCTTTTGTTTAAATAGTTTATAATTAGCCATACTGTGTTCTAAACCACACATACTTGTCTGTATCACCTGATTTAAGACCTGGATGTAGTTTGAGCTGGTTGAGAAGTTTCGGGCATGTATTTCCGGAACGGTTTGATTGACTACTGACTTTCAGTGATTGTTAGCATTGTTAGCCTAGCAGATCCAGTTTGGACGTGTCTTTGGACATGTCTGGGCTGACTGCCCTTGAGGTAAGATCATGTAAATGAAAGATCATGTAAATTTGATTTTTTGCCAAACTATTCCTAAAGCTTGAGTGCATCTCAAACTGTCAAGAAACTTTCGATACCTTTCACTTCAAGTCAGCAACAGCTATGAAGACAGGGAAAATAAATGCTGTTAGCAGTCATGCCATATGCCAACAAATATGTTTTTGTAAGCAAAGAAAGAAATTTTGTGTAGAAACCGTTCATTACATTTGGGAGTAAGGTATCACCATCACAGATATGTGAGGTTGCTTTGTAGTCTGTAAAGGCCTAAATCCCCTGCCACATATGCCACGTATCTCTGGTGTCTAGAAAGCATCAATGAATTCTCTGTGCATAGGTGTGCTTTGCCTGTCTGATAGAGAGCTGTCTTGGCATCTGGCCAAAAGGCAGTATTCCATTTTCAACAGCAAGTGCACTTCTGCAGTGGTCATATATGCCTACCCAAATGTTGTTGTGCATACTTTAGATGTTGATATTTATGATGAGGTTGAAGGTAAAATTTTCTTCTGATGCTTCCTCCTTGAAAATCATGTAGTACAAAGGTGCATCAAAACTTTTGTTTCAGCTAAACCTCTTTTGCAGGCCCTTGCTTTGCCTTACTCGTCAGCATATGAGCAGCTCTGTCTGAGATTTTTCCACAGTTCTCATTTAACTGCCATTTCTTACTTTGTATGCATCAATTAGCTTAATTTTCAGATCCTCAGGCAGCTGCCCAGGAACCCATGATCGTTGAGTATTAGCTTGAAGAGTCAACTAAGAATTTATTTTCAGAAAATTTATTTTTCATAGAATTCATTACTCTCTGGAATTGTCATCAACTGACAACTAATGACAATCATCTGACAATTCCCAATGTCAATCATCTGACAATTCCTAATAACAATTATTGCCCTGCTTGACCAGTCTTAATGAGGCAATTAATGCATAAAGAGCTAATCAGGTAAATCTATGTTGGAGGTTGTCTTTATTTTTTTACTTCAAAAACTAACAAAAAGGCTTGACTTCAAAGTACATTTTTTTATGCCATTATGGCCTAAAGTAGCATGTGAATATAAAAAAAATTATAACTCACCATAATTCTTCAAGCTTACAGCCTGGATTCTCCATTATAGCCACAAGCTGCTCCACTCCTTCATCTCCCGGGTTGTTCCAGTGCAGGTCCAGCTCTCTAAGGTGTGAAGGGTTTGACCTCAGAGCTGAGGCTAGTGCAAGACTTCCATTAGGAGTAACTCTGCAGTCCTTCAGTCTACCAGCAGGTAGAGAAAGAAATCTTATCACTGAAACTTTCCAATTTACTGCTATTTACAAATATATTTAGTGAAAATACTCACTTCAGAACCTCTAGTTTGCACTGTGGATTTTTCAGCTGTGTTGCTAGTATCTGAATTCCAGACTGCCTCAGGCTGTTCTCACTGAGGTCCAGTTCTTTTAAGTATGGAAGTTTTGGAATCAGCTCTGAGGCGAGAATGGAGCAGCCCTGTGTTGTGATTCTACAGTAAGAGAGTCTGCAGAGACAAGAGAACCATAGAGCATATGTTTGTGTGTGTGTATATATATATATATATATATATATATATATATATATATATACACACACATATTTTATATATATATATATATATATATATATATGTGTGTGTGTGTGTATATATGTGTGTGTGTGTGTGTGTGTGTGTGTGTGTGTGTGTGTGTGTGTGTTCTTCATGTTTTAAAATGTTCTATTTTTAATTTTAAGCATTTCACTGAAGTTGGCCATTTCATTTTCAAATTAGCATGGTCTAAAAAACACAATATAACCATGAAAAACATCAACAAAACTACTGCCTTTTTATATCCTATTAAATTCTTTCATTAAAAAAGGAGTATAAATGTGTGCAGAATTAGACTATTTAAAATATTCTAGTACAATAATTATACATGCCAAATTTGACAACATACATTGTAAATTACTTATTAAATTGGACAGGATTCCTCCCCTTTCACTCCCATTATCGATTCTGCATGTTTTCTTTACTTTGTGACTGATGGAATAGCATAAGCTTTACCTGAGTTTCTGTAATTTACTTTCTGCATCTCCCAGTCCGTCTGTAAAATGCCTCAGTCCTGTGTCTCCTATAGAATTACTACTCAAATCCAGCTCTCGCAGGCTTGAGGAGGTACAGCTGACTGCAGAGCCCAGTGCTTTACAGCATCTCTCAGTGAGGCCACAGTTATCCAGCCTGAGAACAAAAAATCATCATAGAACATAATGGGAGAAGATTGCTGTAACTGAGGCCACATTTTCCAAATCATCACATCATCAAATTTTAAAAAGTACACAGTAAAAAAAATGCAGCTTTTAAACTTACAAGTATGTAAGTAACTGGAACTGTAAGTAACTTAACTTGAAATGTTGAGTTCACTGAACTTCAAATAATAAGTTAAAAATGTAAAAAAAAATCTTTTAACTTAACATCACAAGTTTAATGAACTCAAAATTTCAAGTTAACATGGTTACTTACTTTTTTAATTTTAAAAGCTGCATTTTTTTTTTATAGTGTACAGGGCATGGCCTACTTACAGAGCGATTTCTGAAGCTTTGACCACTAACATCAGTCTCAGGAGGCCTTCATCTGATTTGCTGTATTTCTTGAGATCAAACACATCCAGTTTTTCTTCTGACGTCAGTAACATAAACACCAGAGCTGACCATTGTGCCAGGGAGAGTTTGGAGAAACGCTCAGAGCTGAGGTAGTTTTGGATGTTCTTCACTAAAGAGAGCTCATTGAGTTCATTCAGACAGTAGAACAGATTGATGGACTTCTCAGTCGAGGAGTTCTCCTCAATCTTCTTCTTGATGTAATCCACTGTTGCTTCTGTGCTTTGATAGTTGCAACCAAAGCTACGTTTCACCAGGCTTTGGAGAAGGGTCTGGTTGGACTCCAGAGAAAGGCCCAAAAGGAAACGGAGGAAGAGATCCAGGTGGCCATTTTCACTCTGTAAGGCCCTGTCTATGGCGCTCCTGTGCAAGTCATACAGCGCATCCAGGTTAGGATCAGCTCCAGTGCAGCGTTTCTGATCGAGAACGTTCAAGTTATGGATTTTGCACATGAAAAACACATATATAGCTGCAAGAAACTCTTGGATGCTCAGGTGTACAAAGCAGTAGACTTTACCCTGAGTCAGTGCACATTCCTCCCTAAAGATTTGGGAGCAGACTCCTGAGTAGACCACTGCCTCCTTGACATCAATGTCACAAGCTCTTAGATCTTCCTCATAGAATATCAGGTTTCCCTTCTGTAGCTGTTGGAAAGCTAGTTTGCCCAATTTCAGAATCATGTCTTTCCCTTCGGCCTTATGTTTTACGGAGTATCTGTCATTTTTAGCTTTTGTTTGGATCAGCAGGAAGTGCATGTACATTTGAGTCAACGTCTTGGGAATTTCTCCACCATCTGAGTCACCTAACGTTCTTTCCAGAACAGTGGCTGAAAGCCAGCAGAAGACTGGGATGTGGCACATGATAAAGAGGCTCCTTGAGGACTTGATATGTGTGATGACTCTGCGAGCCAGACTCTGGTCACTTATTCTCTTCTTGAGGTACTCGACCTTCTGTGGGTCATTGAAACCACGTACCTCGGTTACCAGGTCAACACACTGAGGAGGGATCTGACTGGCTGCTGCTGGACGGGTTGTTATCCAGATAAGGGCATCTGAAAGAAGGCTCCCACTGATGAGGTTTGTCAGTAAAACATCTAGACATACTTGCTCTATTTGGTCAAACTTTCTATCATTGTTCTGAAAGTTCAGAGGAAAGCGGCACTCGTCCAGTCCATCAAAGATGAAGAGAACTTTGTGATTCTGAAGGTTTCTTCCTTGAGGGGTCTCCATTTTGAAATAGTGAAGGAGCTCAACCAAGCTGAACTGCTTCTCCTTCAACAGGTTGAGTTCACGGAATGCTAGTGGATAAACAAACTCTATGTCTTGATTCGCTCTGCATTCAGCCCAGTCCAGGACGAATTTCTGGACAGAAACGGTTTTTCCAATGCCAGCAACACCCTTTGTCAGGACACGCAGAGTGGGTTTGCTGTGTCCATGGGAGGAACTGAAGATGTCATTGCATTTGATGGGTATTTCTACTGTTGTTTGTGTCCTGGACATTATTTCAATCTGTCTCACTTCATGCTCCTTATTGATGTTACCACTATCACTTTCAGTGATGTAAAGCTCTGTGTAAATGTCATTCAGGAACATCGGGCAGCCTTGTCCTGGCACATTGCTGTACATGCACTGGAACTTTTCCTTTAGCCTATGTTTATGTGTATATTGCAGCTCCACTTCAGTATCTGTGGACGAGACTGAAGTAGTGGTGCTGAAAGAGTGATTCCGGGAAGAAGAAATTAGATAATTTGTATATCTTTAAATATAAGTAGCTTAAGTTATACTACCACTCAGAATCACCTTTCAAAGGTTTAAATTGTTAAATCACAGTTCAAACATTTGGAATCAATAGTTTTAATCATAAAACCAATTAATCTACATATATATATAATATAATTCTAATATACTAGTCATGTGCTATCCTTGACCAAAAATTATTGTGGATAAACAATAATACAGTAATTACAGTAGGGGGAAATTAACAATCAAGAACAATACATTAACTGTAAAGTTAACAGTGTCTGTGTATAATTTTAGCATGTACAGGATGATGCATAAACCTTTGCACAGTTAGGGGAGGTAAACTGGAACTGCAGATTAGTGTACAGAAATTCAGTCCATGAAAAAAATCTTTAAATAGTTATAGCAATTATATTAGTTACATACATAATATAATTACATTATATTAATATGTGTAATTAATATAGATAATATAACATGCAAAATTAATAATTTAATGTTATTACTATTAATTATAATATAATATAATATAATATAATATAATATAATAATTTTTGTGTTTAATAACAACATTTCTTACTAAATGTGAACATAACAGTGCTGACCAGGTGTGGATGTAATTCTTCCTGACTGCAAAACTCACATATAAACTCATCTCCAGCGAAGCAGCAAAACATTTTTCACAATTATAGCTAATAATCTCTATAGCTAGCATGTAAGGCTAATCCTAGCTAGTCAGCAAAACTGCAGTGGTTTTATGATGAAAATTTAACTAAACAATATTTTGGGGGACAACGTCACACCTCCCTCCAGCTCTGTAGTGCTGAGCGCTCAGCACACAGATCCACTCCCAGACTCTAACTCTCAGAATCCTCTGGAAGATCATGTGAAACTCACTTCCCCGTCATCCTCCAATCACAGACCATTCTCAAGGTCATCACCTCCTGAATACCAACCAGATACACTTGAACTTCATCACCACTCCTCTATAAATACTGTTTGTTTTTTTACTTCCCATTATTCCTTATAGGGATGCATCAATACCAGTTTTTTCAAACCAATTATGAGTATATGTTTTTTAGTACTTGCCAATACAGAGACTGATATCACACCGAGTAGCCTGCTTAGAACTATGTAGTCGTTAGTGTAAATTTATTCATTCATTAAATTAATGAATAAATTAAGTCATTAAAATATAGCTGATTTTAAACGAAGAGCATTAGCTAGCTATGCTACATTTGTTACCTTGTTTTGACTGGAGCTGCAGTGGAAAAACCTATCCTGGGCAGAAAAGCACTTCTGTATAGTGTAAGTAAAATAAGTCATAGTTTTGCTCCAACAGTTTCTGTAGCTCAGCGACAGAAGGAATCACACCGGGCTAATGCATCCAATGAGCTTACATTTCGAGTTTTACATCTTGTTGGGAGTTTTTTGTTTTTTTTTTTGGCTGGTTGAATTGTAGTTGAATGTCCTGTAAAGCCAGACATACACTGTGTGATTTTAGAAATCTTCTTCTTTGGTAACTTACACTGTACGTTTAAATATACCATCATGTACAGACAAAGCCTAAGATTAAACCATGAAATACAACGTCTACACACCTCTGTATTAACATGTATACTCTACTATTGCATTCAGTCAAATAAAGTAAAGTCGGCACAGGCGGGCTTAGGGAGGACATGTTGACTTTTTTCAGTCTCTGTTTAGTTATAATGCATGTGTGTACCCGTACTGTGGAAGCAGTTGTGATTTTGTTTGTTCAAAATAGGCAATAATCACACAGTTTATTCCTAGTGGAAATCTGCCAAGGTGGGATGTTTAAAGTAACCAATGGCTTCCTGTTCATATGTCAAAGAGTCAGGTGAATTTTTATGAGTACATAAGCACGGTATCAGACCGATACCCACTACTGGTATCTGTATTGATGCATCCCTAATTCTTAGTATTGCCCCAGATTTTCCTGAAATGTTAGAATTAATTAGACCTTAGCCACTTAGTGAATGACTAGAGAATAAATTTGACCCCATCATTTCATCAAGGAAAAAATAAGAGGTGGGCTGTCTGACCCTAGGGGCTTCCTCACCCAAGTTACCTTATATTATTTACGACTGAAATTGTTGTTCCCAGAATACTTTAAATATTGAGTGAAACATCAAAAAATAACTTGGTGTCTAGTTTCTACTATTTAAATTCACAGTGTATAAATTATTGCTGAATATAAAACAACATTATTATATAAAATACTCTGTGTTAAAAACTATTATCAGTCCAAGTGATTTTAAACTTTTGAATGTAATTTATTTATGTTTTCTTCTTGAATACTGAGCATGTAGGAGAGGTAATAAGGCAGTGCTGTGCTGGTGTCTTACCACTGAGAGATGGAAGTGTCCTCTGTCATTGTTCCAGGTTCGAGCACTGATGATGCAGTTCTGTTTGACACACAGTCAGCCTCCAAGGAGACAAGCCTCGGCCGTTTACATGAGCTTAAAACAGCATACAGCCATTTCCATTACAATTCTTCTAAAATCATGTGAATATTTATAACTCATTACTACTTTTATCTTTTACCAACAGTGTTGGCATCAATTCACTTAATTCAGGACATCATTCAAATAGCTGGTTGTAAATTATATTAACAATTACAAAATCAGACTGGTGTAAACTCTGAAGTCAGTATCAGAAATTTCTTTAGGATGCTTACCTTTGTGTGGGAGAAATGGGTGCTTCTTTAAATCCATCTGGTTGCAACATTGAATTGGAACTTCTCCATGAGACACAACTTGGCTGATCTAACGAGGCAAGCCTTGAAATGACAAAGAAATATCATATATCTGTGTGTTCACCTGTCAAAGCAACACAAAACTGTACAGATATTTATTTTGTACAATATCTTGTGTTCTTACCTCAGTGCCTCAAATTTAGATGTTTGTTTGTCAGGAGGATTCATTGTGGATTAAAACTGTCTTTTGGATTGTCAAACTTCTTCCGTTGTTGCACCTGTATAACTGTATTTCAACAGATTAAATTATTCTCTATTGTACGGACAATGATCATTTCTGTCACAAACTAAATAGCTTTAAAGTAGGGCTGTACAATGTATCATCTATGTTTTTATGACAACACAACTATAAAAATATGTTTCTGCTGTCATGTTTTAAACCTGATTAATCTGATGGATCTACTATGAAAGATTGTTTTAAAGGTCATGCTACTGTTTTTGTGAAGTTTTAGATGTCTAAATTCCTAATTTGATACAAATTTAGATCTACGTTTTCTGAACAGTCTGGAGCTGTGTCCATCTGATATCTGATTCTGCCATCTGTCAGACTTAATTTGGAATGTAACAATACACTTGAACTTTTCTAGAAGGTTTGGTTCAATTTACGGCATTAGTTCTGACAATTATGTTATTGATAGCCAATTATGTTTCAGCATGTTTGAATTCTCAGCTTATCTAGAGACCATTGAAATGATCCGTTCCAATCACATTTTTAGTTGTATGAAATAAAGCAATAAACTGACAAATTAGGAACACAAATACGTCTTCTTAGACTTAGGCAAGCTTATTAACCCTATTCCATGTAGACTACATCAAGGTGTCCAACTTTACCCACAAAGGGCTGGTGTGGCTGCAGGTTTTCATTCCAATCAAGATGAAGCACTGCTGATTCAACTTATTTAATCATTAGTTTCTGTCTTCAAACAGTTGATCATGTGTGCTCCTGCTTTATTGGAATGAACACCTGCAGCCACAACGGCGCCGTGTGGGTAAAAATGGACAACTTTGGTTTCGGCCAATGCTTATGTTATTAAAAACAAAAACAGAGTGCTGTATGCAAGATGAATCATTTTACCAGAAACGTGAAGCTTTAGAAATACTGCACATTGAGCAAGGGATGGTACTTCAGCTATAACTAACCTAGCTGTTATCCTATGAATCCTATGCCCATGAACATGACTCTTTCCCTTGTAGAAACCTTTGGCCACATAGGTACCCTATTCATAACAATAGGAATTATTTTACTTTGAACAGTTGCTACGTGGAAACTATACATCCAGTCAAAAAGATGTATACACGCACACCTTTTCTAATCAGACCAAACATTCTGGAGTCGTTTTGGAGTTCACATCTCAAAAACTGCAGAGTGGAGAAATAAGAACAAGAAGAAAAAGAAGAAGAAAAACAACAAAACTAGAAAAGTGCATTTCCTAACGAAAATGCTGAGTGATTGCCCAGGTTAAGCAATTCACTGGTATTGCTAAGGTGTTGTTAGGTGGTTGATATGGGATCTTAGGTGGTTGCTAGGGTACTGATAAGCAAATGACATGTTATAAGTTAAGAAATGTCTGTATATCTATGTTAAACAGCAAGTCAAGCATGGAACAGCCAGAGCAAAGTTACTGCTGATGTTAAAAGAGCGATCATATCACTTCCATTTTGGAAGAACTGCACTGGCTACCAGTATCTTTCAGGATAGATTTTAAAGTTCTCCTACTGTTTTTTTAAGGCTCTAAATAACCTAGCACCCGCTCACATCACAGTGTCCGTCTGTTTATATTTCAGCACATGATCTTACATCAGCAGATATTGGCCTTCAGAAAACACCTTCTGTAAAATAGTCTCTTTGGTATTTCTTTTCAACTTGATCAGTTGTTGTCTTGTCTGTTACTATAAAACATTTTCACCTGTCTCTAAAGCACTTTGAGCTGCCACTGGTATGAAAAGTGCTCTGTAAATACAACCCCAATTCCAAATAAGTTGGGACGCTGTGTAAAATTTTAAAAAATGTAAATAAAACCAGAATGCAATGATTTGCAAATCTCATGACCCATATTTTATTCACAATAGAACATAAAACATATATCAGATGTTGAACCTGAGACATTTTACCATTTCATGAAAAATATTAGCTCATTTAGAACTTAATGGCAGCAACCCATCTCAAAAAAGTTGGGACAGGGGCAACAAAAGGCTGGAAAAGTAAGTGGTACTAATAAAAAAACAGCTGGAGGAGCAATTTGCAACTAACTCACATGACTGGGTATAAAAAGAGCATTTTAAAGAGGCAGAGTCTGTCAGAAACAAAGATGGGCAGAGGTTCACCAATCAGCAAAAAACTGCATCTAAAGATTTTGGAACAATTTCAGAAAAATGTTCCTTAATGTAAAATTGCAAAGACTTTGGATTTCCCACCATCTACAGTACATAATATCATCAAAAGATTCAGAGAGTCTGGAGAAATCCCTGTACGCAAGGAACAAGGCCAGTGATCAATATTGGATGCTTGTGATCTTCAGGCCCTCAGGCAGCACTGCATTGAAAACTGGCATGATTCTGTACTGGAAATAACTGCACTGCATCCTCCAGAGTAAAGACCTCCCAGCTTGTTATTAGCACACAGTTCAAAATCCAGCATCCATGATGGTAAGGGGGAGCATAAGTGCACATGGCATAGGTGTCTTGCACATCTGTCAAGGCACCATTAATGCTGAACGAAATCTACAGCTTTTGGCAACATATGCTCCCATCCAGACAGCGGTCTTTCAGGAAAGGCCTTGCATATTTCAGCAAGACAATACTAAATCATATACTGCATCCGTCATAACTGCACGCCTTCACAGAAGAAGAGTCCGAGTGCTGAACTGGCCTGCCTGCAGTCCAGACCTTTCACCAATAGAAAACAGTAGGCGCATCATGAAACGAAAAATCCATCAGGACTGTTGAGCAGCTAGAATCCTACATCAGACAAGAATGGGACAACATTCCACTCCCAAAACTCCAGCAATTGGTCTCCTCACTTCCCAGATGTTTACAGACTGTTGTCAAAAGAAGAGGGGATGTTACGCAATGGTAGACATGGTCCTGTCCCAACTTTTCCGAGATGTGTTGCTGCCATCATTTTCTAAAAGAGTTCATGTTTTAATGAAATGGTAAAATGTTTCACTTTCAACATCTGATATGTGTTCTATGTTCTACTGTAAACAAAATATGAATTTATGAGATTTGCAAATCATTGCTTTTTGTTTTTATTTACATTTATTTACATTTTACACAGCATCCCAACTTTTTTGGAATTTGGGTTGTAAACATATTGTTATTAATTTTTTTTTTTAAAGCTAAACACTTATAGCCTACACACAATAGACCACCATATTAATTAGTTGAGTCAGAAACATGTATTGCCTAACTGAAATTAATACAGCAATAATATTGTATTTCACTTTCAAGTGATAGGGATAGGGCGGCACGGAGGCGCAGTGGGTAGCGCTGTCGCCTCACAGCAAGAAGGGCCTGGGTTCGATTCCCGGCCAGGGTCGTTTCTGTGTGGAGTTTGCATGTTCTCCCCGTGTCTGCGTGGGTTTCCTCCCACAGTCCAAAAACATGCAGTCAGGCTGATTGGATGTGCTAAATTGCCCCTAGGTGTGAATGTGTGTGTCTGCACTGCAATGGACTGGCGACCTGTCCAGGGTGTATCCTGCCTTCTGCCCAATGACAGCTGTTTTTCATGTAGACTGTTCTGTCCCTGCAGCTGACAAGCAGACACTGAAGAGGTTGGGTTTTCCCCTAATTAATTACAGTGTGCTCCAGTGTGGCCTACAAACACTCCTCTTTAATATCACTGTTTATTTTAATTTATTGCATCAATTTATTATATTTTAATCATTTTTGTCTGTGAGGGGCTTGATTAACCAACATCTTCCATTTATTCTTCTTACTGCTATTAGACAAATCCATTATTGCTGTATTGTTCTCTATGGGTTATGACATTTGGTTATTTTCAGTGAAGTTTGCAATGTGTGGGAATGTTTTCTTTAGGTCACTCAACTGAGAGATCATGAATATTTTCTGGGTTAAGGTTAGGTTACAGTCATGGAGGATGTGTGCATAAGAATTATGCTGAACTAGCTTTGCAACGTTCAATGTTTATGAAAGTGAAACTTCAAGTGAGAATAGGTGTAGTCCTTCACTTACTCTAGAGGTGGTGTATGCATATTGTAGAGGAGAATGTGAATTACTGATCTACCAGTAACTAGTTATTAATTAGATTTTTTAAAACAAACTCTAACAACATGTGCTGAGAAACAGATGGACTACGGTCTGTAACTGTAGAACTACATAGCGCTCCTATATGGTAGGTGGAGCTGATAAAATTGACAAAGAGAGTAGATACGAGGAATTTTCCTAATGCCATTCATCCAAGCTTAGTATGTTTTGTTTGTCACAAAGAACACTGCTTTTAACAAAATAAAACATTTGAAAAGTGGAATTATAGACACTTACAATGTATCTGCTCAGTACAGGCAGATAAATAATTGTGGATCAGATTTAAGATATTTCGATATTCGTGTATGGTTGTACACAGGTTCATGCAAATTCTAGTGAGCTCGACCAGCTCTTTAATTAAATACATCTAGCCCTCGGGCAGTATGAATGTGTGCTTTTTAAAAGCATTTAAATGTGTTTGGAAGAAAAAACAGGAATATGAATAGTAAGAATAACAATAGCAGCCGAACATGTAGAATTTCACTTTGTACTTCAGTGATAACGACCTTCCATGGTGTTATCACCTGCGCACATAGCGCACAACTCTCTGTGAGCCCTTAAAGGATCTCATGTTGGACTTCAAAGATAAGCGAAGAAAGTTAAGCAAAACGTGGAGGTCTGAAGCGTTTTTCGATTTTGACATTGTATTTTAACATCTAGAACAATTTTACGAGTGAGAAAGAACGAAAGAACTTACCCTACTGGAATGCCCAGGAGAATAGAGCGCATGCGCTCTCGGAGCTCTTTCTCTGCCAGGAAAGGGCGAGTCCCCCCCAGTAGTCATAATGGCTTGTAAGTCATGTTCTATTATTATTATTATTATTATTATTGTTATTATTATTATTATTATTATTATTATTATTATTATTTTTGTTTATTTATTTTGTAAAATAGGGCAAAACAAATGGGGAAAGCCTGTGACGCTGTAGCTGAAAATCGCTCCCCCGCATCTCCTTTAAACACAACATTGTCACAACGTTGTCTACTTTTTTTTAATAAGGTTGCTACATACATACATACATACATCATCTAAACCGTTTATCCTTCTGGGTCGCGGTGGGGTGCTCGAGCCTATCCCAGCTGCCATTGGGCGGAAGGCAGGATACACCCTGGACAGCACGGCGGCACGGTGGCGCAGCGGGGGCGGCACGGTGGCGCAGTGGGTTGCGCTGTTTCCTCACAGCAAGAAGGGCCTGGGTTCGATTCTGCATGTTCTCCCCGTGTCTGCGTGGGTTTCCTCCGGGTGCTCCAGTTTCCTCCCACGGTCCAAAACCATGCAGTCAGGCCAACTGGACATGGTAAATTGCCCCTAGGTGAGAGTGAGTGTGTATGTCTGTCTATCTGCCCTGCGATGGACTGGCGACCTGTCCAGGGTGTAAGGTTGCTACAGCGTTTGCATAATGTTTACGTTGTCACAACCGCATTATTCAGTAACTTTGCTGTGTGGTATTATGACCACCTGTTGGCATCTTAGCGATGAGTTCCATGCACAACATATTGAAATGGAAAGGATTCTAGGAGTAAGTTGCCATTTCGTTGTCACAGCATCCTAGAATGTTGTCAGATAATGTTGTCCCTGTCTTTCATCTCCCTTCCTCTCCTACCCCGGAAGAACGCGAGGAATTGAGGAGAGAAAAGGAACAGGGGTAATGGAAAAAAATGAGCAGAAACTGGGGAAACGGGACAGGTGAGTCCTTTCAACGTCGTTAACCAACGTCGAAAGATGAACTTGGCCTATCAGTTCTTAGTCCTGTATCTAATCACAGCTGCTTCACAGAGCCAGTACAAAATACACAACACAGAGAATATATGAACACAAACACAGAAGTTCTATTGCTCCGTGTTTGTACGTCCTCTCTGGGCGTGCTTGCAGTGATGTCAGAGAACTTGTAGAAAGAATTAACACTCTGTATTGTCTTCCGTGTTTCTCAAACGCTAGAGGGAGCTCCCGAGCGAGTCCAAAATGAATGGATTAAGATGGAGCATTTGAGCAAAAAATCATAGTTTCTAAATGCTTAAAATGTTTTAATGGAGAAGAAAACAATCATTTCCTGGACACAGAGCAGCCGAAGAGCTGCTCCGTTCGCCAACCGATCAGCACTCAGTAGCACTAATGCTAGCATTGTACTGCCCAAAACCCATTTGCTGTAGAAATATATAGGTAAGGAAATATATAGTTAAGTTTTCTTTGCTTTTTAGTGAAATACATCCTTCTACTTTCTAAAATTAAAGGAAAGTTAAAATAGTTTTTAATCACCCAGAACTTTCAAATTGAAAACTTAGTTTCACATTTGCATTGTCAGATGTCTCTCTCTAGGTGGATGCAGACACCAGAAAGGTTAATATGTGTTAATTATTATTGGGAGGAGTTGCATAAAAAAGCTTGTAGTCCATGCCCCTAAGACACCTTTATTCAGAATTGACACAGCAGCCAGATTACGAGTTGGAACGCTTTTACTTCCAAAAAAAATCTGCTTTCTAAATGGAAGCAAATACAGTAGCATCCCGTTGGGGGTTATGAATCAGAACCCAAACCTGAATGACAGTAGCTCACACTCCCAACTACAGTACTCAACCGAACTGCTCCACATAACATTCATAACCTCTAAAAAAGAACGTCACATAGGCTACTTGAAAACGCAACCGAAAACCTTTACATACTGTTTCAATAACTAAACATGCTGCATTACAGCTAAGCATGAGCACAGCATCAGGGGAGCCCAAGCATACTGTGATGACACATTATCATTATTGGTAACCAAGACAATAAAATACAGCTTGGTTTTTGAATGGAGCAAAAGAAGCAGCACAAAATTACTTGAATAAAAGTCTGGTTCCAATGGCTTACATTAAAAGTAAAGTATGTTTTTTCCTTCTCCTGTAAAGTAAACATTTTGGAGATGAGGTTTTGTTTTGACAGCAGTGAAATGCTTGTAAAGTACATTTTCAAAGTAAATTAAAACTGAAAGTACTGCTTGCATAAGTATTCAACCCTTTTAGATTATTACTTGGTAGAACCACCTTTTGTGGCAGTAACAGTTTTTAGTCTGTTGGGGTAAGATTGTACCAGCTTTGCACACTGTTTGGGAGTAATTTTCATCCATTCTTTGTGATTTGCTCTAGATTGTTTAGGCTGATTGCTTGTGAACTGCTGTTTCCAGGACCACAGATTCTGAATTGGATTGGACTTGGCCATCATAGAACATTTACTTTCTTGTTGTTCAGTCACTCCTGTGTTGCCTTGGCCTTGTGCTTAGGTTCACTTTCCTACTGAAAGGTGTAGTTTCTCTCAAGATTTAGTCCTTTACCAGACAAGCAGGTTGTCTTGCAGTATCTTCTTGTATTTTGCACCATCTTTCAATTTTAACAAGATTCCCAGTCTCCACTGAGGGAAAACATTTTCACAACAGGATGCTGCCACCTCCATACATCACTCTTAGGATGGTGTTGATGCGCTACACATAGCGCATCATAGCACATTACAGATTTGTTTGATAAACACACTTTACATATATTCATTTATTTACATATATTTATTTTCCATTAGTTTTTAGTACTTCAGTATAATAAAAACACATTTCTCTAGACATAGACAAAACTGTAAATACTCTTTATTTTTATTTATATGTAGTGTATTTATTAAATACAGTTTTCAATTTTTTCAATTTTTTCAAATTTACCAACTTGTTGTTAACGCATCTCATTAATATCTTAAACAGTATGTCTGTCACATAGTGTGTTTATTATCACGTCTAGCAGAACAAAAGACTGCAATTAATAACTAACTAACAATTAATAACCTTCATGTATTTAGCTACTATAACTACATTAGGCCTCCAGTATAAGCCTTAGATCTAAGGCTGACTCTTAGCTAACCTAACGTTTTACTTTAGCCTTAAATTAATGATGATGTACTTTTTTGGCTGATCTGTAAGATTACAGTAATTTTGAAAGGTAACACACCTAGCATACATACAGTTACACTTAGAATTATTAAAAGCCTTCAAAGTGGCAGTTTGGTAATATAAATAAAATTTCATGAAAAGCTATCAAACAAGGCTTTAGTAAACAGTAAAAAAGGTTTCTGGTATTCAAAAGAATCCCATGATGTGAGTCAAATGGTCAAGATTGTTCTGCTGCTACAGGAACTGGCACCACCTCAACAAGACTGCCCCATCTCCATGCTTGATGTTCTTTTTTTGTCATATGCTTTGCTTTTCTTACACCAGACATGATCCATGGGTCTATACAGTTAGTTTAGTTTCAGCACACCCTCAAAGTGTCTCCCAGAACTCCACAGGCCTGTCTAAAATTCTTTTTGCATATTTAAGTCAATTTTTTTGTGCTTTTTGGTCGAGAGTGGAGTGCAGCAAGGTGTCCAGGCATGAATTCCTTGCTTGTGTAGTGTTCTTATTGTCTTCACTGATACTTTTGTTCCTGTCTTCAACAAGTCATCCTTCAAGTCTTTGGCAGAGTGTTTTTCTCAGCTGTTCTGTTCAAATGTCTGATTGCTCTTGGTGAAATTTTACTCTTTCTTCCACACCAAGGTAGGTTTGCTGCTGTACTATGAGTTGTAAACCTATGTACATTACCTCTAACTTGTCTTTTTGAACTTTAAGTGTCTAGAATGTCTTCTTGTAGCCAGTGCCTTTTTGGTGCAATGAAATAATTTCTACTCTTAGCTTTTGTAAGGGCTCCTTTTTCTTGTCATGTTTGCTGCTGAGCTTGAACACATGCATGGGTGGGATTTATATATGTTTCAAGGCTGAAGCAAATTAATTGTCACTATGAAGTTCCCAAAGGATTAATTGTGTTATAGCACAATTTTGTAGCCTTGCAAACTAGCAGTGATTTAAAAACTGGATTGAATCATTTTACCATGGCTTTATTAAGAAGTTATTCTTTTCAGAAATGTATATATTTTTATAGGTCACTCATTTAATACACAGTTAGTTTAAAAATTGTCTCGATCTTCATAAAAGCTTGATTGTGTTGATCCTTACAGTCTCAGTGGGGTTTGAATAATTTTGAGTGCAGCTGTAAATACTATGACAATGGCTCTAAACATAAATAGAAAGAAATACATTAAATACATTAAATAAATAATAAAAATAAAATGATAATAAATAGAGGATTATGGTTAGTATTTTTTTTACAGCTCCTCAGTTTCCACAGATCACACAGGCTGTCAGGTATGACAGGTAAACTTTTTTTCCATTTCCTTTTCAGGGGATCCATGTTAAATCACTCAGTATAAGCTGCAAAAAAACAACAACAGTACACAACAGTAGTTAACAGTACACAATCACTGAAACAAGATGATTAGTCCAAAGTTAAAAGAAAGAAACAAAGAAAAATACATGCTTATTACATGTTCCCGTTTAGCCCTACTTTAATGAAGATAAAAGCCTTCTATAGTATACACATGCATTCAGTAAAATACTTACTTAATTTTCTCTAGTTTGCAGTCTGGATTTTCCAGTAAATTGGAAATCTGCCTTATATCTGTGTCTTTAAGGTTGTTTTCTCTAAGGTCCAGTTCTCTCAGGACTGTGTGTTTGCCATTTAAAGCTGATGCTAAGATTGTGCAGCATTTCTCCGTGACCCCACAGTTGAACAGTCTACAAGGAAAAGTTGTAGCTTCATGACTGTGCATTGTATTTAAAGGAATTTTCCAGCATTTTTCAACCTAATCTCTATCTGCTGCATCTGTTGCATATCATCAATTACTACAGACAATAATTTCCCAGTACTTAGAATAGGGTAGAAAACTTGTTGATTTGAAACATTCTTATAATAGAAACCAGTGTGCAGATGCTAAATCAACTGCCATTTATTTCTGTTATGTGCAGGGCCGCAAGAACCACAGGGAGAAGTGGGCATTTGACCCACCACATTTCAAAGTACTGGGGCAACGACACACCTCTTTCTGAATGAGTTCAGGACACTTACATCATAAAAAATATAACTCCAATAATACATGGAGTATTGACCAATAACAGAAAGAGACTAAAACTCATCATCAGAACCAATCAAAATCCCAATTTCAGATGGGAGGGGGGACATTTTCCAAACAGTAAAGACTTCATGAGGTTGTGAGTTCAGTGAGAGGAGCTGCAGCACACTGATCCAGTAAAATGTTTTTACTGAGATACAAAAACCAACACACTGGGCCACAGTTTGAATTTACTAAATGTTGTTTTTTTTACATTTCTTTCTGCTACTTTGCAGTACTAAGGTCGCTGTCACACCAACCTTATTTGGTGCAGACCTATCAAACTTTTTCTGTAGTTTGGTCCATTTTGACATTTGAACCCCTCCCATCTTATTCAGGTCCGCACCAAATAGCTGAGCCAAGGTCAGGTGACCCATTGATTTTTACAATGGTCAACATCAAACAAGAGAATGCTCTATGGTGAATTTTTCACACCAAATGAGAGAATTCAACACCAGTGGCTGCTTTTCCCAGTGTACATCAGTGCTATGCTGTACTGTTCATGTAATCTGTCCATTTTAATGTGTTCTAGACTGTCTTCAAGTTCCTGCAGTACAACCTGCTGATAATAACGGGAGACAAGTAATAAAATAATAGAAAAGATACACTTTTGATTTTGGAACATGGATCTCGGAGCATATTTTTGGCCAAGCATCAGCCACCTGATTGGTTAAATTCAAACTGTTAAATGAATAATAAACAAGAAGACATCAAAAAAATGTGTTATTATTACTGTTTTGTGTTTTCTCTGTTTTATATTTTCTATTTATATTTCTAATATTATCATGGTGATAAATGTGACCTTAAAAAAAACAGACACCAATAAAAGGTTTTAAACCGTTGCAGTGTGAAACCAATAAAAAGATACAATATCACAAAAAATTTTGTGAATAAGTTGATAGAGACCTTAGCATGACATGAAAATCACTTTTAGTTACTCAGACAGCGGCCGCCTTGCATTGTGTCACTGAGCCAGCTGTTTTTATTTTTTTGTTTTGTTTTGTTTTTTTGGTTTGTTTTTTTAACAACAGGTTTTGCCCACTTTTGAAGATGTGATGCCACCCCTGGTTATGAGTTATGATTCAATGGGTATTCTGTTCTTTGAGTGCAGGGAAATTATTGTCATGCTAAATGACAAAATGCTACAGCTACAACAGATGCAGACTAGTTTGAAAACTGTAGTATAGTATACCATTCATGTTACCACTGATAAGTATTTTTTTAGTATCAAGAGAAGCACAACTAGCTGTTGTCAGTTGTTAAAAATTAATCATTAAACTATCATTAAATTTGTCACCTCAGAATCTCCAGTTTGCAGTGTGGATTCTCTAATCCGGCACAAAGAGTCTCCACTCCTGAATCCTGCAGGTTATTTCCTCCCAGGTTCAGTTCCCTCAGACATGAAGCCTCTTTGCAGAGAGTAGAGGCCAGCGCATCACAACATTCTCCAGTCAAGCCACACTGATTAAGGCTGGTGAGAAAAAAACATATGTTAGTTAGCAAATTGTATTAGATATCAGGTCATATATAACATTATGTATGTAGGTTGATTTGATGTACCAGCACTCACTCCAGTTGAACTATTGCACTTATGTCATCCTTCAGCACAGCAGAAAGAGTCTTTATTCCTGCATCAGTTAGGTTGTTGTTACCCAGATTCAGCTCTCTCAAATAAGTAGGATTTGAGATTAGGGCTGATGCGAGGGCAGCACAGCCCTCTTCCGTAACTCCACTGTCTCTAAGCCTGTAGAGAGAGACAGAGAAATTAAGGGACTTTTTATTTGCTTTCTGGTTGTAAAGATTCAAATTGGTCACTTTATTAAAAACACCTACCTTGCAGCTCCACTTTGTGGGTGTAGCCTTCTGATGCACAATTTGTACTAGTCATCCCCTAGCCCTTCATCAGTGGCCAGTTTCTAAACAGAGACCCTCAATTTCCTTGATGGACAAGCTAGAGGGGAGCTGATAAATTGTGCAGCAACAGATGGGCTACAATCTGTAACTGGAAACCTAAAGTGCAACTTTATGGTTGGTGTTTCTGATAAAATGTCCAATAAATGTAGGTTGACACAATAAACCTCCAACTTAGCATTGCCCAAAACCTGTTCAGAACATCACCTTAATGTCTGAAGTCTGCAGTCGAAGTTCTTCATTGCCTGGGAGAGCGCTTTCAGTCCAGAATCTTGGATGTGATTCTGACTCAGGTCCAGCTCTTTCAGGGTTGTGGGATTTGCAGCAAGTGCAGAGGCCAAAGCAGCAGCTCCTTCTTCTGTGATCCCACAAAATGCCAACCTGCAAAAAACAGATTGTTGTCTAGTTAAATCAAAATTTACATTTAAAGCAATGATTAAGCAAAAAGTCAAATTTACGCAATTTTCTACTTACTCCAATACAGTCAATCGGCTAAAACATGTATGGTGTCCAAATTTTGCTTCTTTAGTTTTAGCACAGGTGCTACAAGGCTAATGTAGCTAACAAAAACTAGATGTCAACAGACTCAAATCTTTTCTGTAAATACATCCTCCAAACTTCTCTAAACCTGCTCAAACTGCATCAAGATCTTCTATAAGGTTGCTCTGGTTTTTCTATATGATGCAATTTTTGTTTCTTTTATAAAAAACTTTTAATGTTGCGTTTTTGAACTGAAGATAAATAGAAACAAAAATAATGTTGTCTATCATCCGTATGCCTGTGTGACTTGTAAATGTGAATAGCGTTTTTGAAATACAGCTCAACACATGCCTTAAATGGCTGACCACTGTGTTGGGATATATTTATGGGAAAGATTTGGGTGACTGTTGACATCTAGTGTTTGTTATCAACCTTAGCTTCATAGCTCTACTGCTAAATTTGAAAAGCAAAATTTTTATAGCAAACTTGTCTTGATTGATCAACTATATTCAGGGTAAGTGAAAAATTGTGTAAATTAGATTTTTTGCCAAACTATTCCTTTAAACATAAACATTTCCCCCAGTCCATACATATGCACCACTTTGCATTCTTTTTTTAAGGAAAAGGAGAACCTATAGCTTGTCTTGGTATCAAACACACACACACATCATCTAAACCACTTATCCTTCTGGGTTGCGGTGGGGCACTGGAGCCCATCCCAGCTGTCATCAGGCGAAAGGCAGAATACACCCTGGACAGGTCGCCAGTCCATCACAGGGCAGACAGACAGACATATACATTCACACACACACTCACACCTAGGGGCAATTTAGCATATCCAATTGGCCTGACTGCATGTTTTTGGACTGTGGAAGGAAACCGGAGTACCCGGAGGAAACCCACGCAGACACGGGGAGAACAAACAAACTCCACACAGAAATGACCCTGGTCGCCCGGCCGGGAATCAAACCCAGGCCATTCTTGCTGCGAGGCGACAGCGCTACCCACTGCACCACCATGCCACCCCTGGTATCAAACAAAGATTTAAAAAAAACTGGCCATGGAAAATATAAGTGCTATACTGTAAAAAGAAAATAAATGTCGTTCAAACAATAAATGTATTTAATTTGATAATGAACAGTCTAATTGGTTGAACTCAAATAAAATTATTTGATTTGAAGTTATCGTTGGTTAAAATCATAAAATCAATCAGTATTCAGCAGTCTGCTATTTAAACCTAGATTAAACCTGTGTTTCAGATGTGAATTTAAAGCTGTGTGCTGACTCTGACCTCAGTATCTCCAGTTTGCAGTGTGGACTTCCGATCCCAGCAGAGAGCAGCTCCACTCCTGTGTCTCGTATTGAGTTTCCACTCAGGTCCACTGCTTTCAGACTAGCAGAGCGGCACCTGAAGGCTGAAGCAAGTGCCTCACAGCACCTCTGAGTAAGCAAACCATAACTTAGCCTAAAGGTGAAAAAATAAGAAAACTAATTATTTCGACTATGTTGTGGTCATTTACCTTCACACTAGATATTACTGTACTTTTTAGATAATGAAAAAAAAGTACAAAGGAATAAACAAAAGTGAAATACTAGCTTGCATGCTTAATGCTTATGTAATAGTGAAAAAGGGAATTATACTGTTTTTTTATTTCTGTATAATTCAGTCTTTAAGATGTAAACAACAACATTCAGAGTATCCATCATCTAAACCGCTTATCCTTCTGGGTCGCGGTGGGGTGCTGGAGCCTACCCCAGCTGTCATTGGGTGGAAGGCAGGACACACCCTGGACAGGTCGCCAGTTCATCGCAGGGCAGACAGACAGACATACACACACTCACACCTAGGGGCAATTTAGCCTGTCTGCATGTTTTTGGACTGTGGGAGGAAACCCACGCAGACACGGGAAGAACAGGCAAACTCCACACAGAAATGACCCTGGTCACCCGGCCGGGAATCGAACCCAGGCCCTTCTTGCTGTGAGGCGACAGCGCTACCCACTGCGCCACCGTGCCGCCCACATTCAGAGTAGTTGATGTGAAATGTTTTATTCTATAGAAATTTACAGACACAAGCTCATTTTTGTTGTGTAGTCTAAATAGCTGTCATGACGTCAAGCATTGTGGCATCTGTCATGGCAATTACCAGAAATTATGGTTATATTACCAGACAAAATCTCTCATGACAGCTTATGACATCTGCCATAACATCTTTATGGCATAGTTACATTATGTCAGTGTTATGCAGCAGGTAAAATTTTGGTATATTTTGGTACATTCACTGTGAAAAAATATGCAGCTTTTAAACATGAAAAGTAAGTTCTTGATTAACATGAAAAGTTGAATTCAACTTCAAATAATAAGTTAACAAATGCAAAACAAATTATTCTTCTTTTAACTTAATAAGTTCAACGAACTCAACATTTCAATTTAACCCAGTTACTTACTTTTTCAGGTTTAAAAGCTGCATAATTTTTTACAGTGCAATCTTAAAAAAATTCTAATATCCAGTATGGTAACTTTATAGGAGAAGTAAAAATTTTCTTTACATGTGTATCTCAGTGTATATCAAAATGTTTATGATGAAACACATCCAACAGAACATACTGCTGAAAAGGCGTAACATATTAACATAATTTTTTTGGGCAACATTAATATGTGAAAGTACTTAAAGTAGTACGTAAATATGAAAAAAGAGATCTCACCATAATTCTTCAAGCTTACAGACTGGATTCTCCATAACAGCCACAAGCTGCTCCACCCCTTCGTCTCCTGGGTTGTTCCAGTGCAGGTCCAGCTCTCTAAGGTGTGAGGGGTTGTACCTCAGAGCTGAGGCTAGTGCAAAACTTCCATTAGGAGTAACTCTGCAGTCCTTCAGTCTACCAGCAGGTGGGGGGAGAATTCTTGTCACTCAGACTATTCACACTGGGCAACTGTGTGTTATCATGTATAATTGATGTTTGTAGACATCAGCTCTGCTTTTAATACAGTGGTGCCAAAATGGCTCCATGGCAAACTGCTACAACTGCATGTGGACCCCTTTATCTGCCAGCAAATTGTTAAGTTTCTGTTAGTCAGGAGACAATTTGTGCAGCTGGGACTTTACCTGTCAGAACCCCAATCCAACAGTACATACTCGTGCTCTCACCTCTCATCTAGTTCTCGTACACCAAGGACAGCACTTCTGGCCACCCATCCATCAAGCTGATAAAACTTTGCAAATGACACAACTGGTGTAAGCCTCATTACCAACAATGATGAGCCCTACAGGAGGGAGGTGGCCCATCTGGCTACATGGTGTACCGTAAACATTCTGGAGCTCAACCCAAAAAACAAAGATGGTCATAGATTTTTACCCTTCCATCCCCCCTTGGAACTAACAACAGTGCCGTAAGTACTGTGGAGTCATTCACTTTTCTAGGTACCACCATCTCCAAAGATGTCAAAAAAGCTCACAGGAGAATGTTCTTTCTGTGGAAGTTACAGAAACTCAACATCTCTCAACCAGTTTTGTCACAGTACCGCATATCCGTCATTGAGAGCATATTAGCCTTCTCCATATCTATTTGGTTCAGCTCAGCCTCCTTCCACTCAAAGGCCAGACTAGCAAATTGTATGCACAACTGAAAGGCTTACTGGACAGCAGCAGCTCTCAATTCAGGAGCTTGAAAATGGCATCACTTCAATAAAAACCAGAACCAAATAACATATGAACAGCTTCTCAATAAGTCAAACTTCTCAATAAGCCAACAGATAATGAGCCTCATTTATCTTAGCCTTAGCTTTGTATTGTATATGGACTTGTACTATACCATAGTTATTCCAAGTTTGGTATTTTTGCCCTTCCTATATGTTCTTGTGCTGGCCTGCCAAGTTAAATTCCTGTGTACTTTGTAAATTTGATTCTGATTCTGACTCCAATAGCGGGGTTCAAGTAAATTGGTATTATGTTTTCTTTACATTACAGCCTTAAAGTAAGACTGTATTTAGCATTGACAGGAAAACCAGAACAGCTTTCCAATTTACCATCATTCACAAATTCTACATTAGAGACACTCACCTCAGTATCTCCAGTTTGCAGTGTGGATTCCTCAGCTGAGTAGCTAGTATCTGGATTCCGGCCTCTCTCAGACTGTTCTCACTCAGGTCCAGTTCTTTAAGGTGTGGAAGTTTTGGAATAAGCTCTGAGGCCAGAATAGAGCAGCCCTGTGTTGTGATTCTACAGTAGGAGAGCCTGCAGAGACAAAAGAACCTTAGAGTGACTTGTCAAACATGTTCTTCATACATCCTCATTTTGCCCTTTTGCACTGATTAAATATGCCTAGTCTAATATATCTATTAGAGATCAGTTAAATTTTACAATAGTTTCTTTAGGTCAATGCATGAGTGCGTTATCCCTCAATACTGAAGTAAGAGAGGTTTATGTATTGAAGTAAGAGGAGTAAACATTAGTGAACTTCTAGTTAACAGAATAATGATAGTGTAATTACAAAATGTATATTTTTGTAACGTAGCAAAAATCGTTTACATCCTAAACTTTAGGATTGTTATCACTGTGTTTAAAGCTTATTATTCAGTAGCATTATCATTTAACTACAATGAAACTAATATGTAAATTAAATAGTTATTAGAGTAAAGAAGGGCATTGTGACATCTTTAAACCAAAAGCATACATGCAATATTTTAATCATCTTTAAGATTGCAAAAAATGTTTAAAGCTACTCTCTTTGCCATGTTGTAGTTTGTGGTACTACAATTTAAGGAACAAGGCCCTGTATTATTATCAAGAAAGTAACTGGAAAGGCAGAAGCTGTACCTGAGTTTCTCTAATTTACTGTCTGAGTTTCCCAGTCCATCTGCAAAAAGCCTCAGTCCTGTGTCTCCTGTGGAGTTACTACTCAAATCCAGCTCTCGCAGGCTTGAGGAGGTACAGCTGACTGCAGAGCCCAGTGCTTTACAGCATCTCTCAGTGAGGCCACAGTTATCCAGCCTAAAAATGAACATTTAGGTAAGTTTCAGTTGGCCAGATGCTCAAAAAGAAGAAATCTGGCTACCACATTCAAAAAGAAGAAAAGTTTAATAGATCTTCATCAGTCATCCAAGATGATGGGAAGCTCAGTTATGTTTCAAACAATCCTCTTACTGCTGTGTGAATTATTTCCACATAAATAGTATCACATTACAATTATTAAAAATAATATGTGGCTAAAAGCTAGTGGGGAACTAATGATTTCTGTAAAAAAAAAAAAATAAAGCTGTAATTTGTAGTTCGTTTTTATTTAATATAATCATTGTGCTCATTGTCGCTGTGAAACGGCTACAAGGTAAAATATATGTTAATGTCTGTTACAAGCTTTAAATAAATGTGGAAGGTCTTTCACAAGGTTCAAATAATGGCCATAAATTAACGTGAATTGGTGTTAGCTTAGCACAGTCATACCATTAGAATCTCAGACAGGTGCTAGCACAAATTAGCATTGTAATAAAGTTGTCTTTCATAGTTTTTAAGATGGGTTTTGACATTTATGGGCCAAGCGGAAGGCCTTAATCAGTTATATAACAATTATAGTTCGCCACTGCTAGAGGCACATCCATGTGGAAATTATGTCCCCATTTGAATCAAGTAAATTTGATGCATCATTTTGTCCAGTAAAAGCTATACACATCTCTCATTTCATCTACAGGGCATGGCCTACTTACAGAGCGATTTCTGAAGCTTTGACCACTAACATCAGTCTCAGGAGGCCTTCATCTGATTTGCTGTATTTCTTGAGATCAAACACATCCAGTTTTTCCTCTGACGTCAGTAACATAAATACCAGAGCTGACCATTGTGCCAGGGAGAGTTTGGAGAAACGCTCAGAGCTGAGGTAGTTTTGGATGTCCTTCACTAAAGAGAGCTCATTGAGTTCATTCAGACAGTAGAACAGATTGATGGACTTCTCAGTCGAGGAGTTCTCCTCAATCTTCTTCTTGATGTAATCCAGTGTTGCTTCTGTGCTTTGATAGTTGCGTCCAAAGCTACGTTTCACCAGGCTTTGGAGGAGGGTCTGGTTGGACTCCAGAGAAAGGCCCAAAAGGAAACGGAGGAAGAGATCCAGGTGGCCATTTTCACTCTGTAAGGCCCTGTCTATGGCGCTCCTGTGCAAGTCATACAGCGCATCCAGGTCAGGATCAGCTCCAGTGCAGCTTTTCTGATCGAGAACATTCAAGTTATGGATTTTGCACATGAAAAACACATATATAGCTGCAAGAAACTCTTGGATGCTCAGGTGTACAAAGCAGTAGACTTTACCCTGAGTCAGTGCACATTCCTCCCTAAAGATTTGGGAGCAGACTCCTGAGTAGACCACTGCCTCCTTGACATCAATGTCACAAGCTCTTAGATCTTCTTCATAGAATATCAGGTTTCCCTTCTGTAGCTGTTGGAAAGCTAGTTTGCCCAATTTCAGAATCATGTCTTTCCCATCGGCCTTATGTTTTCCGGAGTATCTGTCATTTTTAGCTTTTGTTTGGATCAGCAGGAAGTGCATGTACATTTGAGTCAACGTCTTGGGAATTTCTCCACCATCTGAGTCACCTAACGTTCTTTCCAGAACAGTGGCTGAAAGCCAGCAGAAGACTGGGATGTGGCACATGATAAAGAGGCTCCTTGAGGACTTGATATGTGTGATGACTCTGCGAGCCAGACTCTGGTCACTTATTCTCTTCTTGAGGTACTCGACCTTCTGTGGGTCGTTGAAACCACGTACCTCGGTTACCAGGTCAACACACTGAGGAGGGATCTGACTGGCTGCTGCTGGACGGGTCGTTATCCAGATAAGGGCATCTGAAAGAAGGCTCCCACTGATGAGGTTTGTCAGTAGAACATCTAGACACACTCGCTCTCTTGGGTCAAACTTTCTCTCGTTGTTCTGAAAGTCTAGAGGAAAGCGGCACTCATCCAGTCCATCAAAGATGAAGAGAACTTTGTGATTCTGAAGGTTTCTTCCTTGAGGGGTCTCCATTTTGAAATAGTGAAGGAGCTCAACCAAGCTGAACTGCTTCTCCTTCAACAGGTTGAGTTCACGGAATGCTAGTGGATAAACAAACTCTATGTCTTGATTCGCTCTGCATTCAGCCCAGTCCAGGACGAATTTCTGGACAGAAACGGTTTTTCCAATGCCAGCAACACCCTTTGTCAGGACACTCCGAGTGGGTTTGCTGTGGCCATGGGAGGAACTGAAGATGTCATTGCATTTGATGGGTATTTCTACTGTTGTTTGTGTCCTGGACATTATTTCAATCTGTCTCACTTCATGCTCCTTATTGATGTTACCACTATCACTTTCAGTGATGTAAAGCTCTGTGTAAATGTCATTCAGGAACATCGGGCAGCCTTGTCCTGGCACATTGCTGTAAATGCACTGGAACTTTTCCTTTAGCCTATGTTTATGTGTATGTTGCAGTTCTACTTCTGTATCCATGGACGAGACTGAAGTAGTGGAACCAATAGAGTGAGTCCTAGAAGTAGAGGAAATTATATATTACTAAATTACACTACTGTTCAAAAGTGGTGCAAAGTTATTCTAATCTGCTAGTCCCATGCTACCAGTGACCAAAAGATATTTACAGTATATTATCATTCAAAAACTTCTTGTTGCTGTTAGCATACATTAAATATTGAGTAAAACATCTAAAAATATGTTTTTATGTTCATGCTCTTAAAAGAATGAGTTCTTTTAGCGATGCTATAGAACACATGTCAGGCTCCAGTACTCGTGGGCCAAAACACTACAGACTTCAGAACACTGCCTCATTAAACACACCTGAATTGGTTCATCAGCTAATTAGCAAGGCCTTCATCAAATGAATTCAGAGTTTTAGATGAGAGTAAAGACTAATATCGGCAGCCCTTTGGCCCAGACGTTCCCCAGTTTGACATGCTGGCCTTATAGAGCCACTTTTGCTTCCCTTCAGAACAATGTTTGAAAAGAGATGCATGTGTGTAGTTTGTACTACAGTATTATGCAAGAGTCAGAAACCACCTCTCATTTATTTAATTTGCAGTCAAAATGGCCATTAAATACAAGTTATTGATTTTTCAGTGTCAGGAAACAAAGCAAATATATATTTCAGAGACATTTACACAGAAACCTCAACACCTTAAATATAATGCCGTATTTTTCACTATTTTGCATGCCCACTTTTTGCCTTTCATTCTTTTAGAGATACTTATTTCAGTTTTGCAAAGGAATCTGCAGGGATATTTTTCTTGATTTTCTCCTCTCTCTCAAAGATGAAAGCTTTAAGTCCTGTTTATTTAATATCAGTTTTGGTGTCTACCAGGTCTTGCAGGTGGTTGTTAGGAGTCCCATTTTCTCTGCAGCTTTTAATCATTATATGAACTCCAGTTTTGGAAACTCTTGTTTTTTTCACTTTTGCAGCTGGGTTATTTTACTTTTAATCTCCTCAGAAACATCTCCTGACAATTAGAAAAACTTGTATTCATCTGCCATTTTGACTAATGAAATAAATGATTAGTGATCTCTGTATAAATACTGTATTTATACACTATTTATGCGCATTGTATTATAAGTTAATTTATCTAATTTGTGTACGGTTGTGTCTGCGCTAGTGTCTTACCATTGAGACATGGAAATGTCTTCTGTCATTGTTCCAGGTTTAAGCACTGATGATGCAGTTCTGATTGACACACAGTCAGCCTCCAAGGAGACCAGCCTCGGCCGTTTACATGAGCTTAAAACACCATGCAGACATTTCCATTACAATTCTTCTAAAATTCTGTAAATGTTCTCATTCAAGTGTCATATCTATTATTTTTATTCATTATTATCATTTCTCAACAGTATCGGTGTGAAATCGCTTAAGATGACACAAATAAACAGGTGCTAAAAAAATTAAATTACATTAAAAGTATTTGTGAAAATCAGAACAGTGTAATCTCTAGAGTCGGGAGAAACGTCTCCCGAATGCTCACCTGTTTATGAAGCAAATAGATGCTTTTTTAAATTCAATTGGCTCCAACTTCGAATTGGAAGTTCGTATTGAGACACAACTTGGTCCATCCAACCGGACCAACCTTCAAATGATAAGAAAATATATACATATATATGCATAGATCATAACTTAATCCTTGTAATTATCTACAATCTGTATACTTAATTGTTTTTGGGGTTTTTTTGTTTGTTTGTTTTTTCACATTGGGACAACAGCTTAAAATAATTCACCAGAACTGTCCATACATGAGGGTTATTTGAGAGTTCTTCTCTCAAACCAACTCAAAATTTGACAGTATTGTGCAACATCATATTGTACAGTGCAAACTCATGTACAGTTCTTACCTCAGTGCCTCAAAGTTATGAGCTCTTTTGCTGGAGTGATTCATTGTAGATGAATTGTAGCATTTTTGCATCTGCATAACAAACATGAAGAAATAAAACTCTGATCAACAGTGGAGAAACACAGAGAGATTATTCTTAAGTGAAAGTGTAGGTACTGTGATGAAATACCCAAAATGCTAAAGTGAAAGTATGTAGTCAAAAACATACTTGGGTGACAGTGAGGAACATAGACATTTATACAAACTCAAGCATCTAAAAATAAAGAGCAAATGCAGTAACTTTGTTGAATGCCTATTAAAATTTGTTGCGTACCTATCAAATTTGTTTCATGCCTATCAAATTTGATGCATGCCTATCAAATTTGCTGTGTACCTATCAACTTTGTTGTGTGCCTATTGACTTTGTTGTGTGCCTGTCAACTTTGTTGCATGCCTATCAACTTTACTGTGTACCTATCAATTTAATTGTGTGCATATCAACTTTGTTGCATGCCTATTAGTTTTGTTGCATGTCTATCAACTTTATTGTGTGCCTGTCAACTTTGTTCCATGCCTATCAACTTTCCTGCTTGGCGTCAACTTTGTTGCATGCCTATCAACTTTGTTGTGAATCTGTCAACTTTGTTGCATGCTCAATAACTTTTCTGCATGCCTGTCAATTTAGTTGTGTACCTATTAACTTTCCTGCTTGCCGCCAACTTTGTTGCATGCTTGTCAACTTTGCTGTGTGTCTATCAACTTTGTTCCATGCTTATAAACTCTGTTGCATGTCTGTTTCATCAGAAAGTGAATGTTGAAATCAGTGAAATTAAAAAAAAAAAAAAATCAGTGAGGTCAGCAGATGGAGTAACAAGAATTCCCCTGACTATAATTAGGAAGTCATGCACACAGTGTATGTTGTAACCAAAAAAAAGGAAGTGGACTGCAGAGTTGGTCAAGTGTTGGTCACACTTGTTTGAGAAGTCAGGAAATGTCTGTAAGCTGCTCGTTGGTGGTTAAAATGAAATGATTATAAACACTGTGTGGTTTGGCAGTGTATAGTTAATGTACAGCCAAATGTAAACATTTGCATGTTCTCCCCGTGTCTGCGTGGGTTTCCTCCGGGTACTCCGGTTTCCTCCCACAGTCCAAAAACATGCAGTCAGGCCAATTGGACGTGCTAAATTGCCCCTAGGTGTGAGTGTGTGTGTGAATGTGTATGTCTGTCTGTCTGCCCTGCGATGGACTGGCGACCTGTCCAGGGTGTATCCTGCCTTCCGCCCAATGACAGCTGGGATAGGCTCCAGCACCCCACCGCGACCCAGAAGGATAAGCGGTTTAGATGATGTATGTATGGATCTGTGTTCATGGTCGCACAGAAAACAAACCAAATTTATTTGTGCACTGAGTTATATCTGAGATCTTTTCATAGAATTCACTGATTCACAACATTTCACAACTGTGTCCTAGTTCATCTGATAAAACCTGGACTGTTATACAGCGTTATAAGATATATTCCGTTCTAAAATCTGATTGGCTGAGCCATGTTAGAAGTGTTATATACAAATAAAAGCTCTTAAAAATCATCATGTTGCCTGACTGTCAGTTTTGCTTATCATTATTGTAGCGCTTTCAACAAATGTTTTTGAAATGTTAGTTCAAGTTATTGGTTCTTCAGCATTTATTTATGGGTTATTTTGATAAAGATTCTTATTCTGAAGGTGTGGCTAATTGTTCATGGAGGGTTATGTGGTAAAGCCGGTAGAACTGAAAGGCAGTCAAGAGCTGCGAGGAGAGCTGGCTGAGAGAATAAGGCATAGATTAGATGTAGAGCACATTGTTAGAGAAAACTCTGCTCATGTACGGCGTCGCTGTGGCCAACAACAGCTGATTAATAAAGCACCATGAGTTGTGTGAAAGCTGTATTTCTTTTAAGAGCCTACATCATTAATGATAAACTGCATCATTTTGTATTTTTGTATAGATCACATCATTATTTTGGTGCTGTTTTATAAAAGCAATAAGTTGAAACAGTGACTTTACTATGCTACTGTTCTGTTAGGCTGATCACATTCATGTCTGTGATTCACTTCAGCTAAACTGTTTTAATCAAAGCACATGTTAAGAATAATCAGAGCACAGGCTCAGCTATCTCAACAACATGCTAACTAAAACAATCATTCCAATTAGATTACATTGGCATTGGCATTAGATTACATTGGCATAACCAACATTATGCCATCAGACATTATGACAGTAAACGGCACCTGCCACATATGACATGGTAATGTCAATATTATGTAGCAGGATTTAAGTAAAGTGTTACCCAAACCATGTAACAAATGAATTCATACTTACAAAAGCAGCTCGGGTACTGTGGCGACTAATGCTGATGAGTCCATTCCAGAATCAGACCTGGTCATTTATTGTCCTTTCACTTCTGCTTCATACTTTGACGCAGGGGAGGAGGAGGAAACATTGCGCATTTGTTTTTAACCATTTTCGGGAGTGACTATTTTGCTCTTTACAGCTGTCACCATGACAATTTTTCAAGTTATCGGTGCTTAAATATGCATTCAAAATAATAAATGAATACATTAATTGGTTGTTTCATTGTCTTTAATATTTTAGTCCCTTTCATAGGCCTATAAAAGTTTGCATAAAAAGAAAAAAAGATAGAATGTGAGGTGGTGGAAAATAAGCCCACAGTTGACACTTTGTCACACTTTCCTTTTCATGATACTAAAAACTTGTCACAACAACAGCGATGATGACATCTAGTGACTCTTAGGCAAAAATTCCAACCAGTTTCACACTCACATGTTTTGAATTTCATCAGCCACATTCAAATATCATCCTACCACAGCACAACTGCTAGGCCCCTAAAACAATCTGTTGCTGGATCCTGTAAATACATATTTATACATATATATATATATCTATCTCTCTATGTATCTATCTATATATCTATATCTATATATCTCTATCTATCTATATATATATATATATATATATATATATATATATATATATATGCATATGTATATGTGTGTGTGTGTGTGTATGTGTGGGGGTGTGTGCAGAAGTTTGAATGTCCCTGGTTACAAATTACATGTTTTGTTGCTTTTTTATATGATGTTTTTTCTGCAAATTGTACAATTTCTATTTGTTTGCTGAGTTTAAAATGTTAGAAAAAAAGAAAACATAAAATGTAACATAAACATAACATAATAAATATGTATAATATATATTTTTAGGGGACCAGGAGCAGCTAAACAGCACTTAAAAGTTTATATGAAAGATTTAATGTTGTCTTATATAACACTGAATTTTTTATATATTTATACTTTAAATAACTTTGCAGAGATCTGTTTTCACTTTGACAATAAAGGGTCTCTATCTGCTGATCAGTATAAAAATACATCTGCTGTGATTCAGTGTTCTATGATAATGAAACATGAACTTTCTATCATGAGCCTTCTGAACACAATGCTCTTGGGCCCACTCTAGTAGCAGGGACCCTTTCCCCCTTTCTCCCCCTTATGTGCGCCCCTGACAGTAGCATAAAGTTAGACAACATACCTCTAATAATTACATCAATAATCATAACAATCAGGTCATTCTACTATTGTGATGTACTGTAAAAAAAATGCATTTTTGAGTTTATAGAACTTTGTTTTCTTAACTTACTATTAAAATTTAATAATCAAATCAAAATTTTAAGGCAGTCTGGTAACTAACTTTTTAAGTTAAGACTGATTTTTTTCTGTGTGGCAAATGATTTCCCACAACTTTAAAGCATGACAAAAGGGCTCAAAATGACGGACTACAGAATGTTGATGTCGGTGTATGCTTAGTTCTATTCCTAAATAAACCAACAACAAACATGATGGTTCTTCTTTTTCTTTTAGTTTGCTGTTTTTTATTTTTTTATTTGATTATAATTTCAGTTATGTTGTGCATTAAAAACACAACATAAGAATTACTTCACAGATGCTGAAGTTATATGCATGTAAAACAACTTTGATGCTTGTTTTCAGGTTAGGTTGTAAAAATACAAATTGTTGTCTGATTTTTAAAGAAATATTTTAAAATATAAATGTCATTTTGATACTAAAACTTACCCTAAGATTTCACACACACACACACACACACACACACACACACGTTCATTATCTAAGCTGCTAATCTTCCTAGGTTGTGGCGGATGCTGGAGTCTATCCCAGCGGTCACTGGGAGGAAGGCAGGAAACATCCTGGACAGGCCGTCAGTCAATCACAGCGCAGAAACACAGAAATTCACATTCACACACACATTCACTCCTAGGGCCATCTTCAATTCTCCCAACTGCAAGCCTTTGGACTGTGGGAGGAAACCGGAGCACCTGGAGGAAACCCACGCAGACACAGGGAGAACATGCAAACTCCACACAGAAATGACCCTGGTCACCTGACTGGGGAATCAAACTCAGGCCCTGTCCTTTTAGAGTCTCTAAAGATTGCTTCTTAACTCTGTCTTTGTGTCATCAGCAGAAGTTTTTATTTAGCCCTCATTTAGGACCCACCAATGTGTCCATGGTTTCCTTTCTCACTCCTGTAAGTTAAGAATGACCCAGTCAGTTTGCATTGTTTTAGTGTAATTACAGAAAAATAGACTTTACGATGTAATAAGCCTCGGAATACTCTACAACCTGACTGTGACCCATTAACCTGTTTCGACTAGCAGCCTGAGGAAGCCAAAAACACTTTGGAATCCACTGGTGTGAAGACTGTTTATGCAAAGCTGATCCAATAAGCCCTCCCAACTAAGAAGTCCAACCCCCCAAACAAAAGCTGCCCAGTCTCTGGCGAGAAGCTTCAGAGGAAGATCATCTACAAGGAAAGATGAAGCCTAAATCTTTTCTTGATGTGCAACTGCCACAGATCGGCCTGTTCGTCGGCCTAGAGACATTAAATGAAGGCTGGAGTGGCAGCAGTGGAGGATACCAGCGGCAGATCGACACAGGAGCTCCAGCACAGACTGCAGACAACGAGGACTTGGTTGAAAGGAAGCAGACAAGGGAAGTGCACTTCGCCTTCTTACCAAAGAACTATGTGCCTTTGGAAGAGAACGACAGCATACAGAGAGCAAAGGAGGAGAAGAAAGCAAAGAGGAAAGAGAAGTACAAGAAATACAAAAAGGCAAGATGAAATTACAATATGCTTTTGATGGCACTAGTTATACATGCAACATCTAAGGGTTAAGATAAGCCGCAGTTTATTCAACATTGTGACTTATTAACAGGAATTTGCAGGAATGTTTCTGTAACCTGTTAATGTTTGCTAGTTATTTAAGCCAAAACACTGTTGTATTTCAGGCACTGTACTTAGCATTTTAAAGCATGCCTGCACTCAGGCAGTGGGGTAAGTAAGCTTTGATACTGATATGGCTTTGATTAATAATCCACTTCTTATCTGATTGCTTTTGGGTGATTTACCAATATGTCCTGATTGTGGGGATTGGTATCAAAATAAACATGCATGATTGGGTTGATTAATACAGTCTGGAAACATGCAGTGGGTGGATAAAATAAAAAAATATAATATTGGATCATACAGTCACTGGCCACTTTATTAGAAATGCCTTGTAGCTCCACGTTGCTGGTGTCCAAAGTGTAGCCCATGCAGTGTAGTTGGTATGGTGTAGTGGGTTACACCTCTGCCTTCTACTCTGTAGACTGGGGTTCAATCCCCACCTGGGTAAGCACCCTACACTATACCAATAAGAGTCCTTGGGCAGGACTCCTAACACTACCTTTGCCTACCTGTAAAATGATAAAATTGTAAGTCGCTTTGGATAAGAGTGTCTACCAAATGCTGTTAATGTAAAATATTTCTTTATGCACAATCTGTGTCAGCCATCCTCTAGCCCTTCATTAACAGTCAGTTTCTGACCACAGAGCTGCTCTTGGCTGGATATTTTTGAGTGGTGAGCCTAGCAGTGACAGTGACGTGTGTACCTTTAAACAGCGTCACAAGTATTATCTTGTAACTATGTCAGTGTCACTGCTGAGCTGAGAATGGCCCACCACACAAACAATCTGTGGTCAGGAACAGTTCTGTATAGTAGACCTATAAAGTAAGTTCTTTCAATAAAGTGGCCAGTGAGTGAAAGTACAAGGCAAGTGAATCTAATAAAGTGGACAGGGAGCAACTAACAATGTACACTGAAAAAAAGTAATTAGGGATGCACTGATACAACTTTTTCCCTTCCAATACCTAATACTCATGAGTCTGAGAAAAGTCTTTATATCAGATTTGAAAGTAGAGATGAAGAGCAATCACGGAAACACTGAGGAAGAGAGTCTCAGAGTTTGGAATCTGGAATAGCGCCTATGGATCCTCATATTTATACCAGTCCACTTTTTCAATAAAAGCAGTGTTCCATATCACAAATAAAGCATGCTAAATGAAGCAAGTTTGAATGAATGGCATTTACTGTAACTTCACATGTGAATAGAAATTCATGCTGAATGTGTGGAAATAAATGAACACATCCTCTACCAAGAACACTCTTTTGCACATTTTAATGCAAAGTTACTGTTCTTTTACTGAATTTAATATATAAGGAAAATAACATATAAAATGTGTTCTGTGCAAAAGTTGTAGCACATTTAATATTTGAGATGTTATTTTTTTCCAATATGTTAAACTGTCATACTTCAGTATGTTCTCTGTGGAGGATGTGTTCATTATTTTTTACTTAGAAAATCAACAAAACTAAAAACATAGTTTGGCCAGGGGTGTTCAAAAGTTTACACACAACCTGAGTTCCAGTATCGGGGCTAGCTCAATATCAGTGCAGCTCTAAAAACAATGCATTGGTTTTACTTGATTCAATTTAATATGAATAAACAGTGTCAACATACTTACGGCCAAAAGTAACTCAACATATGAAAGACATATTCATGTATTGCTGACTGTTTCCATTATTTTGTCCACCCACTCTAGAATAAACCTATAAAATATGAATGGACTGATTTTCTGGCAATACTCACATATGAGATAAGAAGATGAAAACAGACTAACTTCCTTTCTGTAACCAGGACAAAGTCACCCTGGCATCAAATACCACCTTCAGTTTTTATGTCATATAAACATTGTTTGACTTGAGGAGGAAACAGGAACACACAGTGTTGCTGCTAGTGCGTCATGCATCAACACTGAGCTTTGTTCGTCCCGGGCCATGCCAGGATCATCTGTCTGAGCTGAGAGAAGCAGACTAAGCCAATTAAAGCACAGAGATTTGTCTGCAGCTAATACAGTATTTACACTGTGAGAGCCATTCACTAGGACAGCTCCGTAATCTCACAACCTCACTTACAGGCAGACCCACAAATCTGCGTCTTCCACTGCTGACATACATCCTGTGTGTCCTGCCTCCGCTAAGCCACTGTCCTTGACATTGGCGTCTATTTCTTATTGCTCAGGACTGCTTTAGTCCAACCAGGACTAAAGTGATGGAAATTAATCATAATTTTGACATTTGACATGTTGATCAGTCGTCACTCTTAAAGTTAAAGGTATCAAAAAAGGTTCTTCGGAGTGATTGAACAGAACAACTATTTTTGGATCCTTTCAGCGGATGGACCAAGTTTGTAAATGTGATGACCGAGTATGAAGTAGGATTATAATTCCACATATTCAAAAGTTTCTATACCCGTCACAAGGTTTTGATCCATTCTTCCGAGCGAAAAATTGTTGGGCCATTATTTTGTATGATGAATGGGTTCTTTGAAGCAATGCCATAGAAGAACCACTGTTAATCTCCTAAAGAACCTCTTAGTGGATGTTTTTTAAAGTTTTTACATGAGATGTAAGAGTCTGAGGAACCTTTCTATAGTTTAAAGAACATCCATAAAATTTATATGTCTATACCAATTAAAATGTTTCCTAGAACCAAGAACCATTCAGGAACTCTTATTTTTAAAAAGGTAGAAATTGGTGTGGTTCTTTGGAGTGATGCCATAGAAGAACTACTTTTGGATCATTTCAATGGATGAACCAAATTTGTGCAAGTATAAAGACCCTTTTTAAAGTTTTAAGATTCTCCACATAATGTAAAGATTCTATACTAACTAAAGTTTTTTCATCAGTTCTACCAAACCAAGAACTACTTTGGAATTTCTGTTAGTGCTGGAATTGTAGTGGTGGGTGGCTTTCCAAGGAAGAATCACTTCTGGTTCTTTAGGGAACCTTTGAGTAGATGGTTGTTTAAAAAAACAAATGTGTATGAAATATCAGAGTGTGAATAACATTTTGAAAGTTTAAAGAAAGGTTTTATACTCATTTCTATAACTTTGCGTACAAGCCAAGAACAATGTAGGAGCCTTTTTTTTTAAAATTGTTAGAATTTATGTGTTCTATGATCACTGTGTGTTTCATTCTGACAGCTCTATCCATCCAAAAGTAATATGTTTTACATATAGTTTAATATATCCTATTCTTGTTGTGGAGTATAAAGACAGCAAATTATAATATACACACTGAAAATGTTACCTCTTAAAGGTACCATATGTTATTGGGAACAGGTTCCTTCTGGGCCACAGCTCTAAGGTTAGTGTTTTCTCTTGTCTTACGCTCTGAATAGACATCTGAAGTTGGATATGTGCGTCATTCTGTAGTCTGCGTCATGCCCATGTTAGGAACTCTGGGTCTGAGCAGTTATGGGACTAATGATTGCCATTTTCGAAAATTGTTGCCATCGTTCCCATGATATGTTTTGTCCTATGTACTTTTTTCCACTGAATGCCACTGGATCGTGTGAAGGACCCAGCTGTTAAGGGGTGGAAATGCAAGCTAACACTGCTGCACACTGAAAAGATGCTATAAGACGGACATTCTCACCAAAATAGCAAAATACCTCACACACACACACCAGCAAGCATGGTAGTAGAGTTGCTTTGACAGAAGTAGCCCACAGTTTGAGTAATTGGTGTTGGTGTATAGCAGTGTTGAAGTTTAGCACTAGACTTACTTGCAGATTGCTTATAGCATGTATGTAGCAATATTCATATTTCAGCCACTAAATGACCTCATAATTCAGAGGATCCAGTGACATGTGGACTTTGGGGAAAATTGTACAGAACTACGAATGACAACACAACTTCAGATGTCTATACAGTTTGCAAAGGCCTTGCCAAGCTGTTGAGTTAAGGAGGCAGCCTGCTGAGGTATGCAGTGCTGTGGCCCCTGAGGACTGGATCCTGACACATGCCATAGAACAACTACTTCTAGGTCCCTAAAAAACCTTTCAGTGGATTGACCTTAAAAGGACATTATTATAGAACATTATTAATGTTTAACAAACCTCCACATGATGTAGTTTTTTTTCTAAAGAAGTTTTTTTTCTAGAAATCTGAGCCAAGAACAGTTTAGGTACCTTTATTTTAATAGTACAGTCAGTTTTCATGGGGCTGTTTATCTATTTCACCATTTGCATTTACTGAAGGTTATTTCATTGAGTTCCTTGTTTTAGTTTAATGGTCATTCTCTTATACCCCATGGCAGTGAAGCATGTTGAGTGTTGATAAAGGTTTAATAGAGGAGGAAAAACTATTCCTGGAAGAGTATTTTTCCAAGTCCATGGCTTTGTGATGGTAAATGGCATTTCCTGGGCTTTGCATGTGTTTTTGTGTCAGGTCTGCTTGACTGGTAAACAGTGAACACAAGGAAGTGACCCGGCCTTACAGCTTAATGAGGATTAGTGCTGTCTCTGTTTGCCTCCCTGCACTCATTCAGGCCTAGATTATCAGTTTGTTTATGAACTTTTTTATGACTTTTTTATGAGTGCTTTGGGGAATTGATGCAGCATGTTGTAAAACGCAGTAAAGACAGTGGGAGTGCAGTTTTGTTTTGTTCTGATGTCTCTGATTAGTGATCAATGTTTGATCACCCTGTTAAAGGGACATTCTGCTGTAAACTTGCCTACTCACCTCCTACAGTGGTCCCACAATAGCCCCAAGAGTGAGGTTTAAGTGAGTTTAAAGACTAGGAAAAACCCCTTCTGATGATGTATCTTGAAGGTGAGAAAATCTTTTGAAAAACTACATGCGCTTTAGGGCTGTTTTCACTTTTTTTGCTAGCTGGCAAATGCATAAGGCTAAATGCTGGCTAACATTACTGCTGGGAAGGCACATCTGTATTTATTAGCTTCTACATGAGCACATTTCTTTGTTTGTATAACATATTTATAGAATGCATGCTGGGAGTTGTAGTGAAATAACACTAATGGATGAAAACAGACACAAAATTATGAATTGTGCTAAACTGACGAGGCTGTGGGATGTTGAATGTTGAACTACAGAATATTACATAACATGACAAAAATGTTTTAAATGCTAGTTTTAGCCCGGAATACCCCTTTAATTATTGTCACCATCATAACAAAATATCATAGAAATCATAACTTTAGAAGAGAAGAAAAATAGGTTCCTAACTTTAATGTCTGTTAATTTTGAGAGTTTATTTCAAGTTGTTTTGGACCTTTTCTATCATCTTCAATTCATCTTGAAATGTTTACATGTGGAGGGCAGCTTAAGGCAAAATACACTGGCTGTGATTTTTACTTGGATTTTATAATGAAAATAAACATGACCATGTGTGAGTTCATGTAAAATAGTTTTTGTTTCTGAGCGTCTGACAGAGGGTGAAGTTCCAACAGGGAAGGTTTATTTTTTGTTCTGGGAGCAGGAAGGGCTGTCTGTAAACGTGCAGGTTGACCATTGTCAATACGCGGAAACGTCCCTCCAGGACATTTTTGCACATCCTGTTTATGGCTTTATTGATAGGGAGGGACAAATGTGTATTGGCGAAGGTACTCTGTCATAGAGTAACTGTATGAATGCTGTCTTGGTTTGGGCTCTGGGTTTAGTTTTTAACAGTGCTGCAGAGGCTTAGGATGAGCCATGTTTTTATCTCTTAAAACACATTTACAATATCCTTAGTGATTATTTGAAATCCACAGATGACTCTCGGTCTCCAAACAGTTTTATTAACAGCTTGAATGCATTTTAGTTCACATCCTATACACTGTAGAGAACTGGTGTAAATTCACAGTGGAAACACTGCAGTACAATCTACTGTATTCTTTAAATACAGTAGATTGCTATAAAGATGCTATAAACATTCTAGGAGATACAGGCAACCTCTTTCTTAACCCTTTTGTGGTGTTGATGTGTTTGTTACTCAGTGGTCTGGTGGACCCACCACATTATTGTTTTTTAAATCAATACAGCCATAACAATTTATGTAAAGGTACTAGATGTTTAAAAAAAATCACAAGTGGTCAGTGTAGAGTTCTCCTTTAGCAGCTGTAGCCAGTAAGCAGCTTGTCTATGTTGTCCACCCTCACACATATGCACACATATACAAACACATACACACACATACACTAACAGCAGGCCATGTAGGAGAAGAACACAGTAAAGGGACACAGCACCTCCACACATTTATTCATTCATTATTATTACCCCAACACCACATGTGTAGTATAAATGTGTAGGGGTGAACAGTGTGAAGTCATTGAAAATGTGTTATTTTATATGTTCTTCACAGAAAATGAGCAAAAGCCAAAGAATCTGGTGTTGAAATAATAACAAATCACATAATTTTTTCTTTTGGTAAACATTGAAAATGGGTCCCACAGACCTGAACACCAGACAAGAGTTAAAGAGGTTAGAATGTTGGAATTTACAGTAATAAGCAGTGATTTGCAAAGCATGTTGGGAAAGTGTCCAGTATTTTGTGCATTCTTGAGCAGCCGGTCTCAAAGCCAGATTAAGGGGAGCCTGTCCACTTCCTATTTTTCACGTTTTATCAAAAACATGACTCCAAAATGCTAAAGTGTGTCCACGATCAAGTGCACATTGAATGGATCTAAATGAGTGGAGCTAATTTAACTTGTTTTTGACCATTTGTGCAGGACCTTCCTTTAATTTGGGAAATTAAATTAACTAAAATGAAAATTTCTTCTTAAAACCCACTAATGCAGTTTTCCTGAAGATCCTGACATTCACTATGTTTTCTTATTTGCGATTTGTTCTTAGGTGAGAACAGAATCTACACACACTTAGAACCTTTCTCAAGAATAAATTTAAGAAAAAACTTTGGTATTATTATTGGTGAATGAGGCCACATGATTTTGCACAAAAGCTCCATAGCAGCCCATTCGTTTTAGGCTTGCTCAGGAGCGCCCTCTAGCTTTTGACAAACTATGACGTCATTACTGAGTGGCAGTTCTCTTCTCTACTTTCTCTTCTCTCTTCACATTCTCTACCTGACTCTGAATATTGTAGTGGGGGAATGGAGCTTCCCAGCATCCCTTGCAGTTTGTATGTTTATGTTAATTAGCTTTTATTTTTCAGTCTACTGTTCATTTCACAGGAGTTTTCCTTTTTGTTTTAACATGTTACTCTTACCACACAGATACTTCTGAATGCATTATATATTTTTCATTATTCCAAAACATACAGTGAGGGCGTTTTGTGTTACAGTTAAGCAGTTCATCTTGTAATGTAATACTTAAAAGAGTTTGCTTACTGTCATCTTTGTACGTCTCTCTTAACAACCAGCAGAAGTGCATGAAAGTGTTGTACTGTGATGTTCAGTTCATGGTGTGATAAGCAGTACTATAAAATAGTGTGGTCATTCTCTTAACTATGTAATGGTAAGCATAAACGTTCAGGCATTTGCTATTGGAAGCTAGCTAGACAGATTTGACGTGATTGCCTGCAGCTTAATATGTGCTATGTAATGTAACAAAAACGGGGGTTGGGTGTTTTACTGTTGTAGCCTATTAACTGAATTGGCTTGCTCAGATTTGCCATATTGCAGATGTTCCATGATAGATACCTACAGTGTTCTCCTAAACTCACCTGATCATCAGATTTATTTGCATCTGCTTCAGTTTGATTGATTTGCGCTTTATGCTTTTTTGCTGTTTGGCACATTATCTTAAACCCTCTTTCTGAAGGTCTACTTTCCTGCAGACTTTAGTTCCAACCTGTGCCTAACATGCTGTTAGCCAGATGTGTGGCCAGATGTGGTTGGAACTAGACTCTGCATATACTATATTATACAAATCATTAAAATTCCTCCAACCTCATTTACAGTCATATGCAAAAGCTTATTTGCTGAATTTAACATATTGGAAAAAAAACACAAAGTTTGGCCTGTTCAAACAGTATGGCACATTTTATAGTTTTTCCAGTATGTTAAACTCAAATAAACAGAATTTATAGACATTTTAATAGAAATTGTTCACTGAAAATCTTTAAGTGTGTTCTCTAGAGGACTTTCAACTATATGTCAAGGAGTGTTCAAACTTTTGCATTTGACTGCATTTATTTACATACACTTCCATTCTAATCATTTGAAATCACGGTTCAAAAGTCTGGAATTAATGTTTAGAATAATATAAAAGTAGTTTTGTCACAGATACATTTAACCCCTGTTGTTCCCAACTTGAAACATTGGATGAAACATCTAGTAACAGCTTTTTAGTGTCTAGTTCATATATATATGAAATAACTAAGATTTTCACAAATGATTCCAGACTTTTGAATGTTAGTGTATTTGTTTGTTGCGCTTGATTGGCAGTGTTTGTGATGGTCAGTGTTGCTGTTTGTCTTACAGAATGTGGGGAAAGCTCTGCGCTACAGCTGGAAGTGTCTAATGTTCGGACTTCAGAACTTCACTGTGGGTTACTCCACCCCGCTCGGTGCGGCCGCCACGATCGTCCCAGAGTTCAGAGCAGGACGCGCCAAGAGCTGAGAAGATCAGAGCTCATTCCTTTACAATCACAGCAGGCTTATCTGCTCTGAATGTTTCTGATGGACCTTTCAGCATCTCTCAGACTGTGCCTTTACGCAGGCCTGTGATGGGTTACTACTGACGACGGCACCTGCGTGAATGTGATTTTCTGTTTATACATATTAACAATAAATGCATTTCATAGGCAGATTGTGATGGGACTATGCAGTATAGCACATAACATCTGTTTATGCAACAAAATAGTACTATAATATTAATTATGCAGTGTTTTACATTCAGTTATATTGAAAAAAACATGCAATTGACTATTCAAGTGTGTGTATGATTTTCACATGAATAAAATACATTACATCAACACAATCTCTGCCAAAAGTATGTAAACTGAAGGACAGAATTATGTTGATGTAATATATTGTATAATATGGACTATAAAAAAACTACAAAAGAACCTAAAGTTTATTTTTTTTTACCATGTTATTACTTTCAAAGGGAATTTCATCATATTTTTATTCTATAAACAAAGTCATTCAGAGTGGGTTTTAGAGGCATCAAACTTTTCAGACGTCTGGTTCCTATCACCACCACTGTGAACAATTCTGACTCAATAAGTTTCTCTAGAACAGAGCATTTCCCACCAAACCACTCTGAATGACTTTGTTTATATCTTAAGCATTTAATTATGTAGGAAGTTTGAAAAATCAGTGAATTTCCTCTTTAATCAAAAAATTTTCTTGTTCAGAGAAAAAAAGGAATCAAAAAAGGAATCTGTGAAGTGAAAGATGATTAAATGTTGTAGGTATGTCTGTAGTGAAGGTTTAGCATGTAGCCTACATTTGCAGATAGGCTAATCTGAGCTGCAGGAATTTAAAGACAGGAAGGCTTTAGACAGGAAGAAAAGAGGGAAAAACAGGAAGTGGCGCTGCAGGACTGGGTCAGTTTTCAAAGTTGGGTTGAGCTCTGGACTGAATTCATTCATTTTAAGGCTGCCTGAAATATATGCGCATAGCTTAACCCTGTTAAGGGAATCCTCCAGTGTTTTTGAAACTAATCTCTGTCTGACACGTCTCTAGTGTTTGGTTGATTATCAATTCTACTGTACATACAAAAGAACAGAAAAGCGGCTAATTCAGAATACGTTCGTAATAGATGCCTTTGGAAAGCATCTGCTCATTGGCTTTTATTATAAGTGAGACTTAAAGGGGAAACACATTTAGAAACATAACCATGACTACATCTGTCGTAAACAGGCCTACTTACCATGCCTCCTGTAGTCATGTCCCGGAAACTCAAGAGCAAGATTTTTCAGTTTAAAGACTGGAACAAACCCCCTTCTGATGATGCATTTTGAAGGTGGGAGGAACTTTGAAAAACTACAAGCACTTTGGCGTGGACCCTTGAGGGGGCGCTGTTTGAAATGTTTGTTTTCCACTAGAAGCCTAATGCAGAAAAAAGCCAGACACTTCTGTGTTACTCCTAGGAAGCTGAACATGACATCTGTATTTTGTTTGTCTCTATATCACCTGCTATGAACAGTCAGGGTTTCTTTGTCACCATGAGGGGGGATTCCCAAATGTTGTAGGAAGCACTTCCATAGTGCATGCTGGGTACTGTAGTAAAAAAAAACACTGTTTGAATTCATTGTTTTTGTGATGTCATGAAAACCAACAAATGTACACATTCAGCCCAGAGCAGCTTAGCCTACTCATGCTGAAGTTATGAGGTGTTTTTTTCAAATTATGACTGTTTTTTGAATGAGACACAGCCAGTTAGAACAGAGCCCCTTTAAATGTATAAGTCATAAAAGCACAATAACCAAAACAGCCTGTTTAATTTGAGTTTAACATATTGGGGAAAAAAAAAAACTAAAATGTGCCACAACTTATGCACAGGCATTTCACGTTCAATTTATGTTTCTAGTATGTAAATAAACAGTGGTCGTGCATTAAGGTGTGTGTACAGAGGATGTGTAGACTTGCGTACGACTCCACTAGAGTCCACTGGGAGCATAAATGTATGTAGCATTTGGCCAACACTGCCGCATCACCATGTCTGTAATGTGTAGTTTCTACCAGAAAGACAACTGACAGAAGTCAACATAGTTTCACTGTAAATGATTTGTAATCAGAAGAACTAAAGCTGCTGTAATATAGGGATGATCAATGTATTTGTAAGATAAAGCATTCAGTATGTGTTCAGATAACACTGGGCAAATGTAAATACTACAGGGCTTAACAAATGCATGGTCATGATTGAACTACTGGGAATGCAATCTGTTGAAGAACTGAGGAATGTTGGTTTGTTCTACTTAATAAAATGTTTTTTACTCTTCAGAAAGTGTCACTTGTTTACTAACTGGTACAACACTGTGAAAAAGTCTAATACAGCCAAGAAAGTTGTTTATCTTAACAGTTAGTCTGTTTTTGCGATTAAAAATAACATAAAATTAGAATAAATACAACTAAACATAAATACAGTCAAACATAATTATGTTTTGTTGTTTTTTTTAAAGTTATAAAAGTTAATATGTTTTAGAAGATGTTGTTAACATATAAGAGGTTAGAAGAATACAGTTAGATGAACACAGGCTTAGTTTGCTTCATTGCACTCCAGCTGTTGGATTTGTTAATAATTCAGCCCATGTGAAGTGGTTCACTGTAGAGGAACGTACAGACTCAGACTTCTTTACAGTGGTGGTGATGGGAACCAGGGTCTCAATGTCTACAACATTGCCAATTTATTTACTATCCAAATCCACCAGTGAACCTACACATGTCTTCTGAGTTTTTATATGTAATGTTGATGATGGTAAAATAGTGGTAAATCTGAAAAAATAACCTTTCTTTGGGGACTATTTTGGCTTATATCGCCCTGTATGCACCCCTCCGCCATGAATGGATAAAATAATTGCATTAAAATGCAGTTTAGGCCAGAACTTTATTACAAAACTATCATTAAGCAATATATCAGGCATCAAACATATATCTAACTATGTTACATTACATTTTATGTAATCACTTTCTGTGAAGGAGCTTTTCAGAGGCACTAAATGCTTCAGACGTCTGGTTCCATTCACCAGCACTGTGAACAATTCAGCAAGTTTTTCTAAAACTGAGCATTTCAGAGCAAACCACTCTGGATGACTTTGTTTACATCTTAAACATTTAATTGTGTAGATTAAACTCCATCAGTAGCATCTGATTTCATTTAATGAGGGACTTATATGGAAACCATTAAGCTAATGCAGAGAACATCACAATACATTCTTCATTTCTGCATTTGTATACTAATATTTTAACAAATAAATGCATATTTCTCAGTTATATGGCGGAAAATTATATTTATACACGATCCTGAACAAAAATGCCCCCTTCCCCCACAGCCCCCTGGTTTTTCAGACTGACCTCAGCGCTACAGTTCGGCAGGGGGCGCTGTTGAGGCGGGTCGCTTTCACAGAGTGAAGAAGCAGCGAAGGACAGTATCATGGCGGGATTCATGAAATTGAAAGGGTGTAATTTTGTGAACGTCAGGACGAGAATTACTGTATTTTCTCTTCTGTTTTTTCTTCAGTTTTTCCAGAATACTTTAGGTAATGTGTTTTATTAATAGCTCGAGTTATAGCTGTTGCATAACGGCCTGTTTTTAGAGCTTAAAGGAAGTTAGCTGTTGTTAATGTTGTCCTAACGGAGGGGTGCTAATGTTGCTTTGGTGAAGTTTTGGAGCTTAAATTTGTTTAAAATGTGTTCATTTCTCTGTGTAACTACGATGGGTACAAAATACTTGTTGTGGGCGTGGCACATATTTGTAGAGATTTGTCCCAGGTTAACCAGGTTAGCCTTAGGTAGCTAATGTGTTTACACTGCTCTGAATAATAACAGAGTTAGCTGGTTAGCTAACTAACGTATTCATTTCCTATAACGTTAATGTTTCATGCAGTAGATCTGTGTTCTACCGTTTGCTACACTCTTAAAAAGGTGGTTCTTCAAGCGTTGTTTGGGTGACTCATGAGTTCTATAAAGAAATGGTTCTTTGGCTCTTCAGACTGATGGAGAATGTGTTGTATATGGTTCTTCATAGAAGAACGTAACCTAGTTCTATATAGCTCCAAAAAGGGTTGTGCTACTGTTACAAACTTGACATCGTAACAATAGATTAACCCTTTTTGGTGCTATATAGAACCATTTTCAAAAAGGTTTTATAAAGAATCATATACAACACATTCTCCATCAGTCTGAAGAGCCATTTCACCACGCAAAGAATCATTTAAGCATGAAATGGTTCTATATAGAACTCATACTAGATAACTCCTACTGCGTTGCCTTTACTAAAGAACACTTGAAGAACCATTTCTTCCTCTTTTTTAAGAGTGTACAGTTATGGTCAGAGCAGGGTTCTGGCCTGTGAGGACGTTTGATTTGGCCCAGCAAAATGTACCCTAACCTCACCCCTTCAGCCATTGAGGGAAGATATAAAATTAATATTTTGCTTTTTTAATTGTTTTGAAGTAAATATCACAAAATATAGTGTAATGTTATAAAATACCTTTTAGAAGCTTGATTTGAAACCCCACCTTCTTTATTTGTATATTGTTTTATCTTTTTTGGCCTTTGGCCCAGCACAGACATTACACTTTGGCCCCCTAATGACAAAAAGTCTGGGAACCCCTAGGATAGAACGTTTAATTTAGATGCACAGATATGGGAATGGTGCACAAATGCTGATGTCAGATATTTGTCATTTACGTATCTGCTGATACATTTATCAAATGTAGAAACTGGGACAACACCTACCTGGATTAGCATTACAGATAATAATAATATTTGTTCTGTAGGGTTACAAATGCAGTAAATGAATAAAATGCTGGCATTCTGCACTTCCACAGTACAATAAATAAATCATCAAGTATCATATTGAAATATTGGTCAAATATAAACATCTGATGCAAAAAAGTTTTTTAAAGGATATTTTCATGACTTTTTATTTTTTATGATCGCCTTCCATGCCTAATTTCATTTGCTACACTAAATATCTATAGTAATG